GCGTTTTTATTCTGACGTGAGTGTGCTGAAACAAAACGTATAGTGTTATCCTTCATTTTAAGTTTTAGTTCTAATATTTTAGAATGCCACTTTTTTAATTTATTTGAATTGTGGATTTACCTCTTTATTAGCTATTATTTTTAGCATTTCGTCGCCGATGATTATAGTTTGGTAACATGTTTTTCACATTAAACTCATAATTCCCCACGAGAACGAAAAAGCAATTATCGTCGTCATTGTGGAACAATACATGTATATGCCGAAGGAAATTTTCGATTTAGGGAGAATAAACACCGGCGTGAAGATGTTTGAGGTTTAAAAACACGCCATGCTGACGAAAACAATCGGCGATTGTAACAAAATGCAATCGCGCACGATATTAGCGGCCTTTTAAGTCTTCCAAAAATGTCAAGAGGGGAAAAGATTCGACCCCTAATTTATTAATATGTTTGTCATGTGTCAAATTTACAGCTTTATAATATACAATTTATCTTTGAAATTTAGATTTATTTATAACTTGTATTAACCCTATTAAAAGGGTTTACCATTTAAATTGAGTAAAGTACGTTTAACTTACTCAGGAATATTAATCGGAAAGTAACAGTTTTAACATTTATTTTGGGGCTCCGTGAATAATAGTCAACCTTTTCAAGGGCTCCGCAACGCCAAAAGTTTGAGAACCCCTGCCCTAGGCCACAGGTTGGGACAAGAAATGTGATATTTTGATGGGACATGCAAATTTTCAGGTACTGTTTTCATAGCAAGTGAACTAAAAAGATAGATTTAAACAAAGCTTTGTTCATTAAAACTTATATTTTTTATGGTAGTAAATTATATAAATATACTAACTGTAAGGGAAGTCTTCAACGCACAATTAGGCATGAATCAAAATCACAGATTCACCTAATATCAATCCTTTAATAGAAATGAAGAACACTTGGATGAGTTTTTGAAAGAATTCGGGCTGGTTTGCGTCAGCATTCACTTCCAACAGGGAAACGGAAAACTTAGGACGTTTACATGCGCTGATAGACAAAAGCCCCACTTGACTACATAATAAGTAATTATGAATAGTGCTAAAAATTGCGAATCTTACTTCAGATGAAGAATCTCATCGGATCATCGCATAGTCACGTTAAAAATCAAATTCAGACTACGAGCAAACAAGTTGAACCCATCGGCAACTGCAACGCGTATAAAAACTTTGTCAAGGCTCATATGGAATCTACAGAATTATCGATTACAAAAAATGTAAAAGTAAAAGGAAAATTGCCCAGGGAAAACGTAATAATTCGGGATAAAAAAAAAAGGAATTTGCAAAAATAATAAAACACCACCTCCAGCAGAATCAACATCAAAAAGCATGAAGATGCTCAGAAAGATCTTGAAGCTACAAACCTCGAAAAGCAGCGGAACTATCTTCACTCTGAAATTTCCACAGAAAGCAATCAATCATCACTTGAATGGAAAACTGTCAATTAAATTATTGGTATGCAAAGAGTTACCAAAGCTAAAATCAAAGCTTAGAGTCAAGAAGATCGTTTGAATAAGTGGAAATGTAATTTTCAAAAATCAACTTGGTAAAGATATTCCCATACAAATCAATCGCGAGCATGAATAAGTAATAAAGACCGGGCCATTCAATGAAAACGAATTGGAAATTGTTCTGAAGAAACTAAGAAACAAGAGACATAAAGCATATTTAATCAATTTCAAATTTTATGCAATAAGATGGGATGAGAGTTGACCATATAGCGATGCAATATCTTTTAACACCCAGTTTTGACACGTACTGGAATGTGGGAAATAAAATGAACATTCAGTTCTAGGAGAAGTCGCGAATCATTTTTTCATATGAACTCGTGCGTAAACATAACATACCCGCGTTACATCATCAACATATTTACGTCATACGTTCCACGTCATAAAAAATGCAATACTAGCGCATAAGCATAAATATGAGCTTCATTGATTTGAAAGGAGGTTTACGTGGTAAAAATCAGTCATTTGAATTTTTCTTATTAATCTTTAATCGTGCTGCTGAAAGAAATTCATATGAATATAGTTTGTATATAAAATTACCGGATATTCAAAGCTAAAAAACTTTTTAACCTAGTTGGTTGCAATAGTTCTACGTATGTACCCGCAGGCAATAGGATGTCAATTGCACCGTCGAAATCAGTAGTATAAGTTTGTCACGACGAGCTTCTTATTTTGTGCACGGAATATTGATGGGGATTTTATGCCAAAAAGCAATGTCATAATTGTGACACCAAACTTTAAACTTTGTTTTTGCGTATGCGATGTGAACATATTAAAATATCATGAGACTTCACACATGTTCAAGTTCTATTAATCATCCTTTAAATTTTCTCTCTAAATGAAATATTTGCTTTTAAAAAATATTGGATTATGACAGGATGTTAAGTTATGGAGTTTCCAAGATGATTTATTCTTTAATAACTCAAGGTCGTTCGCAATATAGCCTATATATATGACTCCTTTCCCTATGTCCTGAATTGAGTTAGAAAGTTGTATCATCAAGAAGCAATATTGAACAAAGATATTTGAATCGTTGAAAAAGAAAACAACGACAATATGATGAAAACTGCCATTGTGATCTTTTTTGCTGTATACTTCGTCAACGTCAATGCAGGTTTGTGCAATTAGAGGTTGTTTTATTTGAAGTTGATTAGTAATTTTATTCAATAGTATTTTGTTGTTAATTCATCATCTTTTAGGGATCCGATTACTTCCGAGATAGGATCCAAAATGTCCTATCACTTATGCAACCGATCAAATAGGAATTTGTATTCATCGTTGTTACTCAAACAATGATTGTAATTACGGAAGAATATGTTGTTCGACCGGATGTGGAAGTCAATGTGCAAGAGCACCACTTGGTATGTGTTTATTCCGTTTAAATTTTTAGTTCCACTGCGTTCAATTATACTAATCTTACTATTATTCAATTAAACCAGAAAATGGGGCTGTTGACTAAATCTGTATCGAAATAGAAAATTAAAATATAAACCAAATAATTCAAGTACGAGACTTTAAATGATCATATTGGCTTTTACTTTCGAAGTGACAGCGCATTACAGCAATAAAAAAATCTTGTCATTGTACAAGGAGATCCAAGATAACGTTAAGGCATCAAGTTTTTGAAAGGATCATTTGTGTTAGAACTTATTTGTAGCTCTTAACAAAACTGACACATCTTTGCAGTATTATATTCAAGCTCCTATAAAAAAAAAACAATCATCGCTCAAAAGCTGGTGTAAAAAAAGTCCATAGTTTTGTTCTGATTCGAAAACATAGACTTACTTTTATATTTCAGATGAACGATGTCCACCAATAGATCCAAGGATGTTGGAACTCCGTCAAAGAATATTGTGTCTTCCTCCATCATGCTACAGCAATGATCAATGCAAGAATGGAGATATATGTTGCTATGATGGTTGTCGTCAACGATGCATCTCACCACCATGTACAGTTTCTTTCTACATTTTTTAAGTTTTGAATAATTTTTACATTTTAAGTTTTTCACCTATTTCCTCATACTACGATGAATAGGAACCCTGGTGACGAGCAGTATGTACATGAACTTGTAATGTAGCTCCCAATTATTTACATATATATATATATATATATATATTGTTTCGGAAAAGTTCGTTTTTTATAAATCTTTAACGAAGCAGCCGTTCCTATGGGACACTATGGCAAACTACAAAGTTTTTCACTATCCTAGATCCAAGTGTATGAATATATCGTCATAAAAATAAAACAAAAGAGAGTCATGACGAGATCTTTATTTTATATTATTGTTTATTAATTCATTTTAATTTAGTTACAGACCCACGATGTCCTCCAGTTGAAGAGAGAGTTGGAATCTGCTCAAATGAATGTAAATCAAACATAGACTGCACAGAAGGATTAATTTGTTGTTCAAATGGATGCGGTACTCAGTGTCAATATCCTCCGTTTATACCATTTTGATAGATTTGTGTGAAAAATTATAAAATATTATACGCAAAATGCATTGTTAAACTTTCTCTAGTACGAATATCATTTTCCACAAATAGTTCTAAGATATCAGTGAATTTGCTGACTTATAACGTCTGGGATACCAAAACATCACTATGTGGTCCCATAGCGTCATCTCGCAGTTGAAACGATGCAATCAATGATTTGTAAAAATTATGGTGATCAACTAACTCAAAAATGCTTTATCATCTGACATGAAAGATTATAAAGAAGCAATTTTTTTGCAATTTGACCTAAGAAATGAATAATAGTAGTGGTGTAAGCCCATGAAACTATTCATCTGATTCTTTTCACTCTTGTATCAAATTTCAACCTTTTCTTTCACCATCCATGTAACCTAATGTGTCAAAAACTAAGTAACATTAAAGTAACCATATGAATATTTTGTAAAATGAATTTCAGATTAAATGGGTTTTATGTTAAACTTCACAATTTCAGTAAAAACGGAATCAATAATGACAATTTCGTATATATGGAAGTCGGACAGGTGCCTCGGCCAATACGCAAATTAAAATGTTAAATATATTAGTATAGTTGAATTGCAAATAATTAAATAAACGTATATAGAATTTACTCTGCCAGTCAATTAACAAAAATCTGTAAACACATTGCTTATGTAACGCAAATTTTAGTTAGTCAATTTATTTCAATATTCTGATGATAGTGTTAGAAGATCAACGTCCAAGATTATGCATGTGTGAGGGCTAGTTCTTGATTTTGGTGTATAATTCCAGACCTCTCGATACTAACAATTTCTCATTGTTACGTTATGAAGAATAGTAATTGTATCAAACATTTACTTCCGGAAACACTTCCATCCAGTCCTCCCGAAAGTAATACACTGAACTGGCAACAACTGCATCGAAATCTTTATACATTGATCTAAATTACCCCGAACTTCCGTCATCAATGGCGCAATTAGTATGCAAGGGGCGAAACCCGTCAGGAAAATTGCATACTGTATAACTAAGTTCTTCTAGTGCAGAATTCATAGACTTCCAGATTTGGACATTCCTGCACATTTCACTTTCATTTTCATTCTATTTTGTTTTGTTTACCATAATATTGATCGAAATAAAGACTCCAAAATAGAAGAATAAATAGAACTTCAGAAGCTGAAGCAAAGAATATTGCTTCAGCTTCATTCAAACATTGCTGATTTATAAAACATAGTCAAAAAAGTGTACGTCAGCAAAAAGCTATAAATTAAATTTTGTTAGTACAAGTCTAAGACAGCGGTTCCCAAACTTTCCGCGACTCCAATTTTCGTGAAAATTAAAATTATAGATATTCGCGATCCCATAACGAAGAAAGCTCAGCAATTATCAGTGGGATACAATGAAATAAGCCTAGTGAGTCCAACTCTCGATTATATATCAACTATTAACTCCTAGCAACGTGTCTTCACAGATCTCATTTTAACATGAGAATCGGAGATAAAAAAATTTTAAAAGTTAAACCATGGCTGTCAAAATCGTGCAAACTCGCAGAAAAAGTAGTAAAAAAACTCTCCACCCTTTGGTTTTACTCAAATTATGGAATAACCCTCAATCTAGAAAACGACAACTCAAAAAAGGCAAGAGATTATTGGCATGTAAATGTCATTTATTATTTAAAAAAAATAGCAAATTTTACTTTCGCGCCTTCAAATCCGAGGAACTTATTTGCGTCGTATTTTAAGTTCTGCAGATATTAGGCAACCCCGGAAAATCTTCAAGCCACCCAACTCGGTGTCGCGACCTACAGTTTGGAACCACTGGCCTAAGCAAAGGGCATTTGTGAGAAATATCTTTATCAAATATTTGTAGATTTCGTGTCACTTAACCAGAACTGGAGTATATATAACACTAATAATATATGCTTTTTCAAACAAACAAAATACTAATATATATTAAATATAAAATGGAATTTTTTAAATGTTGGTTGTGAATGTTGAAATCAAACTAATTTAAATTCGGAATGATCGTGCCCCCGTGTAACACTTCATAATATGATTTTTGAAATGAACACTTCGGTAAAAATTATCGTCATTTGTGTATTTCGTGTTGTGAGTTTCTGGACCGAGTGAAAATATGCGGCTCGCCAGACTTTTAGTGCGGCTCTTCTCGCTAACATAAATTATTATCCAAATTTCAACTAAGAGAAAAACTTTAATGTAAACTCTTTTAATTTCGTAAGTCGTAAAGAAGTTTTCGTCAATGATTAAGACAAATTATGTTTTAGTATGAAAATCGCTGTAGCGTTGAATTTAAGTCAGTCAAGTCAGCAAATCTTTCGTCACAATGGACAATGTTTATTGATGCGTCGGCGGTATTGCAGCTTAATTGCGGTTAGTTAGTCTAAGTTACTGTGCGATATGTCCTCAATTAAGAAACGAAAGTACGAAGATGAAAACAGAGTTGTCAAGTCAGAGTGGGAAGAAGAATACGCATTTACCAGTCAGAAGAATAAACCTTTGTGCATAATCTGCCATAAGCTACTAAGTCAGAATAAAGTCAGCAATGTTAAACGGCACCATGAAACAAATCATGAAAACTTTTTACGAGACTAACCTTGTAAATCAGCTACAAGGAAACACAAATTAAATGAGCTCAAATTATGCATATATTTGAGCATAGCTGCCTTGTTTATCTATTTATTGTTATTAGACTCTTGTGTGAATTTTTTTTCTGTTCATGGTATTTTGATAATAATGATAAGTTCACAAGTTCTGCGGTACTTTTAAAGTTCTGACTTGCAGCATGCGGCTCTTATACTGAAAAATTGTGCCCTCCCCCCCCCAACCCCCCCCCCCCCCCACCCCCGACATAGCCAAACCAAACTTTCTAAAATTATATAGATTTTATAACAAATGAATGATACACAAGGTCGTGCGCGTCACAGATAAGCGATCAAATTTATTTATGTATTGATTTTAAATGTTACACACCCTAAACATATCCCTGATCTTCCAATTAGAAATCTTACAACAAGCATTTTATTAAAATAATATGGTATTCATTTATTTTTTGCTACATATATTCCCACGAACAGAATGCCAGCTAATAATATAGTGACATTTGTCAACATTTCTTTCCGAGCTCGCTTAAGTATAGGCATTTGCCACAGCGTATTCGCTATTTCACTATCCTTGTTTAACCACGGATATGGTTTTGTTGGTAAAGGTTTACCAAGAAATTCACATAGAGGCTTCCAATCACTTTAGCAACGACTTACTAGAAGTCGATCTTTTGGACAGCTCTAAAATGAAAGCGTGTACAAAGTAATATTCAAATAACAAATATACTTGATACTGATAACGCTCGTTACAATTACTTTGGTAAGTTAGGTATTGGCTATTACAAACTTATATAATTATTTAGATTCACAAACCTTGCTAAAAACTATCTTCAAAAAATCTATGTTACTCACATGAATGACATGAGCAATATGTTTTCTATATGCTAACTTGAAAGGCAGTATTGGTGTATCAATCACGGTGAAATTGAACATGCCGGTTGTTTTATGTCCAAAAGCAAGCGAACCTGCAAATGTATGAAAGGTTTTTGCCATGCTTGATCATAGTAGTTACTATATCAAGTAGCTTTTTGGTGAAGCGTTGTAAATCGTTTAGGTCCAGCCTTGAATAGGTTTCTTTTATAATAGAAGTAGATTACAGGTGTTCATGAAATTTAATAAACTTTGCCAATATTTCCAAGAAGTATGTTTAAAAAATAAATGCAAATTCTCACTGTTTTTGTTGTAACACAAATGTAATACTATGCTAATCGCAAAAAAAAATTTTTGGTAAATTTGAGAGAGAGAGCACTTTTTCTTCTTCTTCAACGGCTCATCACTTTCCAGGTTTCATAGTTGAATTTGAGGCCTTTTGAAGCCTTCCGGGCTTTACACCAAACTTCACTCATCTCGTTGAATAGCACCATGCAACAAATGATTTTGATAAAATAGTGATGAATTAAAGGAATGTTATGTGACGTTTAAATGCTTCATCTTTTCAGAAGACAAACAACGGGACTTGAACGCAAATTTAAAACTTTTAGTTTAATGTTTTGCAAAGATAAGCTTGTGTGGAGTTTCAAACGTTTTTTTTACTTTTAAATTTCAATATGTAGATGATAGCATATAGTACCTAATATCCAAACTTAAAATCTCACATGGATTATTCAAATATGCAGCAAATTTTCTCCAGATCGACGAAAAAAGGGGATAATAGTAACGATGCAGTCCACCGTTAGCAATCATTTGTTTCTTCATACTTTTGTACCAAATTTCATCATTATCTCTCACCATCAATATAACCTAAAAAAAATCAAAATCAAACAAAGTTATTGCCTCTTTAAGCATATGAAGTACAACAAATATTGGCTTTCAATATTTACTTTAATTAGTTTCACTTCGAAATAAACTCGAATTTTTTCGAAATTTCTTGCTTAACAATATTCTTATTCAAACTGTAATTGTCTCACCGTAAAGCTTGAATCGCTTATAGATCGGAATCTATCATAAAACCAGTTAAGTATTGCAGATAAATTTTATTGTATTGTTAGAAGTGGTCAATAATAAACGATGCCAGGTTTAGTGACCAAAGTAAGGGGTTTCGCATTATTGTATACTTCTTCCTAGCGGTACATAATATGAATATTAGATTAAAAGTAATATATCTAACCTGCGCTTCTGGAAACACCTCCAGCAGTTCCTCCCAAAAATAATATACTGGACTGGCCACACACGCATCAAAATCTTCATACATTGATCTAAATTCATCGGAATTCCAACCCATGTTGGTGAATTTCATATAATTATGGACAAAGTGAACAAACGCGTCGGGAAAGTCACATACCGTATACCCCAGTTCTTCCAACGCAACATGCATTGACTTTGTTCCGCATTTGGGCATTCCTGCGCATATCACTTTCATTTTCAATTTTTCTGCTCTTTGCTTATACGGAAGAAAATTGTAAAGCACATAGCATTATTATTACACAGTATGCATTGACATTGCAGAGCATATTGATATATGGGCATTTTTTTATTATATAACCCTATACATCCGCTGATGTCAAACTGATTAATCACTAAACACAGGGTATCTACAGAGTAATCCAGCAATACAATTTACTTATGTAATTTACACAACTTATATCATGTAATATTTTTGCATCGTTCCGAATGTTTATTTTCTTGAAGAAACTACTCGAAAAGCAAAATCAATCTACCTGTTTCTCACTGCGATGGATTCAAACTTAGCTCAGTGTTGACATGACCACAAAATAGTATTACAAAATTCACTACGCCGCTACTAATAACGACCTAATGCATTAATTTTGTATTAGTGATTCTTCCATTATTCTTTATTTTCCAACGATAATTACAATTTTAGATATACGTCATCAATCTTCACGGCTCAAAGCGGCAGTACATAAGCTGATTGTCGCGAATAAATCACCAGACGTGAAACAGCTTAGAATGGCCTCTTCCTTGGATTCAAACATACTAATAGCAAAGCAAGCCAGTAAATATTAGATCCATAAAAACCATTATGTACTCGCTACACACTGTAAACACTCTATTTATCGTTGTCCAAACTCGAAAAAAAACGTATTCATCACTACATTTTCTACTCCACATAAATTACTACAGTATTTGATTGAAAATAGGCATATCTCATATCACAGGGGTGAAAAACTTCGTTTCGATAGCGATCGACAGAAATCTTTGAAAAAGCTCACCATCGACTGATCAAGGTCAAACACAAAAACCAATGATTACTGAATATGCAAATAATATCACACCTCAATAAGAAGGCTTTGTGGGCGCATTCCTAATAAAATCGACACAAAATTTGTATTTTTCATGTTCCATTTAGGTTGTTGATTTGAACTATACACTGCATCCCGAGTCGATTTATTTGAATCATACAATTCAGATATAGGGCGTGCCTAATTTTCAGTCGTAAGTGTTGAAAATTCTTCAAGAAACCTCGTCATTTATTCATGTATTATCTAAATCTAAATAGCTAAAAATAAATATTCTCGAACCATGAATGTTGCATGATTGCTCAAACTTCAGTATCTAACATATATACAATTTCCTCCAAGTGCAATTCTTCGCTTGCTTTAAATAATAAAAAAATGGGCATTTTGATGTCACTGCTAATATTGCGAATACAATTTTTCACACTGTCCTTGCAGTGAGACAGTAACCTTGTCATGTTGCAGAATGTAATTGTAAGATGGTTTTTCAGGCTAGACACGCGATATTCGTTAATTCATTTTTAAATCATTGGAGCGGCAAAACTTGCATTTGTTACCTAATAATATGCTCGATCGGGCTTGCCCAGACTCAAATACTGTACTGTATCCTCCGTGGCTTTATGCTAGTGGCCACCCCTGCCATATCATATCACTTAATTCAACGTTTTTGTTTACTAACGGAAATTCTCTAGTAAGTATTGATTTACTGAGAAATTCACACAAGGTTTGCCATCCACTCTTGCAATTGTATATGAGATGCCGTTCTTTGTGCAATTCTGAATGAAACGAAATACATAATTGCATCAGTGTGTTTTAAATTTATGAAATAGTTTTGCCCTAATTAGGTCGAATTTCCGTGGTCTATTTAAGCTTTAGACCGCAGTATATGGATTAAATTATTATATATATATATATATAAACCATAGTTACAGATATTATCATCAGTAAGGAAGAAAAAAATTTGTGCCATAGCTTCTTTTCTCAATTCGTCGTATTACAAACACTTTAATTGGTATATATATGAATATTATGACAATTTTGACTCTTTGTCAAATTATCAATTTTTTTGATGAATTAAAAAAATCATTTAAAAAATGACTATGTTTACTTACGTGAACAACATGAGCAATATTTTTCTATAGGCCAGCTTGTAAGGAAGTGTCAGTGTAGCACTGTAGATAATACCAAAAAGGTTGGTGATTCAGGTTCAAGCAAGCATACCTGATTTTGTTTAGTTTTTTTTGTAAATTAAAATTAATTTACAATTGTAATGATTCCGATGCTGTGTGCTTGCGGCATAAACGAATCCGATGAGTTGTCAGTGTAATTTCGCAACTTTAGTTAGAAAACCAATTCCTGCAACGTTTGTATTTTGTTGGAGTACAAATAAAACAAAAGAGCAACAGGTACAGGTACCGAAATCTTCCCGACTTGGAATGACCACCATATCGCAACAAATGCAAACGCGAAACTGCCACCAGGTGCGCACTTGGTTATTTTGATGACGTCATCACGTCCGGAACGTGGTATGTGTAACAGGTTAGGGCAAGGTCACAGTTTTATTCCAATTTTACTTATTTTAGTTCTATTACGAGTTCGGGGACTAGCCAATTGACTACCGTAGTATTTGTACCTGAAATTATGGCCTAAAACTAACCTGGTACACATACTACGTTCCGGTGTCCGCCATCTTGGGTCACATACTTTAGGGTTGGCATTTTTGAACTAAATATGAGTAATATCATCTTTAACCATTAGAAAATTTCAAAGCAATTGTTCCAGTAACTGAATAGGCAAGCTATTTGTCACAACAACAATAACACCAAAACAAAGGAGAAAAATATCAAGATTACCAACACAACATAATAACAAGACGATCCATAGTTACACTGCATGTCCCGTAGAATAGGCAAATGAAAAAACTCATTCAATATCTCTCTTTATTACTAGAATGTACAATACAATATGATTGTGTTACAGTAATATTTATTAGTTATGTTTGTTCGATAATATCATTATTTCCCACCATATGGCGGTGTATCATTACATTGACAATTTAACAATCCAGCCAAACATTTAGTTGCTTTGAATAGAGTATAGTACTTTTGTGTAATAACATTCCGTTGGTGTTTACACATAAGCTGTTTTGGTAGCGATAAGTAGGTGTTATTCCTACCCATGTACCCAATAGTGCAGCATAATATTTTTCACATGATCTATTGCATAAACATGTCTTACCTGCGTTACATTATCACCTTTTTACGTCATATGTTCTACTTAATAAAAGAGGTAACGTTAGCGCACGATGGAAACTAAGTATACCTTTAATAATCCAAATAGTAAGCATAAATAGGCTTTATTTGTTTATTTAAAATCATTGTTTTCGAAAAATAGCGCTACGGAATTTAAACTGGATGTTAATATATGAAATTTCTGAGATGATTATTTAAAAAAAAAATTCAATTTCGTTCACAATATATATAAAAACCATTCACGGAAGAATATTAAACAAACCTTAGAAAAATACGACATTATGATATTTTTTGCTGTACATTTATCCAATGTCAATGCAGGTTTGTACTATGTTGCTTTATGAAACATGGGATATGCTAAGATCGTTAGATACTAACTTCATATCGCGCAAAATACCGATCATTGAATTCATCTGGAACAAGAAACTGTATTTAATAAAAAACCTAATAAATATTAAAATTCAAAATGGCAAGTAAATCTTGTAAAATATTAGACTATAACAATATCATATTATTAATGACAGCTGAATAATACTATTTCTTTGTTAATTAAATTATCTTGTGGTGATCCGATTATTTCAGACCTGGGATCCAAAATGTCTTGCCACTTATAGAATTGATCACATAGAAATTTGTGTTCATCGTTACTGAACCGTTGCAATTATGGAAGAATATCTTGTTCGAAGTTCAATATGTACCACTTGATAAATTTTCGCTCAGTTCAAGACAATTGTTGAGGTGGCCTAAAGCAAAATAAAAATATTTGTTAGATTTGCCTTTGGATTTTAGATATTTACCTTTTTTAATGTTTAGAGGTTGTAGAGAACCGTTGTGCTTAATGTTATTTTTATTACCTGTTATATTACTTTAGCCTTACTATCTGTTATTTATAGCTTATCGTTGACTAGTTATTACTTATCGATCACGATAAGTATGTTGATAGATATTTGTTTGTCTGTCTGATTGTTTGTCTGTTAGATGCATGCGTTATCTCACGAAAGCAAGATTGAATCTGCTCCAAATTTTTGCATGTGCATTCATCATATCTCGGACCAGAAGCCTATTGATTTTGGATGAATTATGTCGTATAATTAGCGAGTTATTGATTAATTAGTGATGTGACACATTGTGTCACTATGGAGTAAGAGCAAATAAACCGAAACCTCAGTTTCTGTTTCGGGGGATGCCCTAAATTTCGATCGATAAGTCTTCGGTTTTCAACCGATATTCTCGTTTTTGGACCTCCTGAAGTATGCGCACCAAGATGGCGCACAACCTAAACTCAGGTTGTGTACCAGGTTATGCGACATCTTGGTGCGCATACTTCAGGAATACCGGTTTTTTAGTTGGGGCGCGAGCCTTGACAAATTCTAAAAAAAGGGAGGGACGGCTTAAAAAGTTTGAGAACCACTGCTTTAGAGCAGTTTCAATAACGCTGTTTTTTGGAATTGATAAAAAACAAAACCCCACATATGGAATGTGTACCACCTCTTCAACACACAGATATTATAGCCATATCCGAACTTAAGCTCATTCAAGATTATAGCGCTCGTACTCTGCACTTCTTTCTATATACTTAATATAAGACTCCCGAGTTCTGGTACCTTGAACAAGTCATCTGCTAATTCTGATTAGTCGCAATAGATTTTACGCACGAGCTAAATTTACCTGCCGCAAATTGTAATCTTCGCAATGTACTGTAATATGACTGCTGACTATAAAAAGCGGTAAAATTGGGAACGATATAAAATATTGCCGAGATCTAATACTGCCTGCTGAATATGTATATTTCAATAGCTTTGTGAAGAACGGCCGGGACAATGCGGTCTAGTGTAAACCTCAAAGAAATTGTGGAGATACGCATCCCGATATACTTTGCGATGTGATTATTCAACTACGGTGATGCAACCTGTCAATAGCACCCGAACGAAGAAAAATGTCAGACCAATAGACGATGTACGCCTGAAAATTCTTACCTCGTGTAGATATATTTGGGCAAGCTGGAAAGCTGTGAAAAGTGATGTTTTAAAAATTCAATAATTAATATTAGTCCGACTCTTCAGATTTTTGAATTTGGATCAAATTCGGTATCGAAAAATCATGAAAATTCGACCGAATTTAAATCCGGCAACCTGATCCTGCAAATCACTATTGGCAACTTTGCGAGTTAACAGTTGTTAGTGTGCTGATAGACTAAGTATAAACCCTCTATCGTCTCTCACTTTCGCTCACTTTTTTGCTCAAAAGCTGATACATTAGCAGAGGTCTTATTTTAATCCAGGACACTTAAGTTCTACAAAGCATCTCGAACGTAGATGCGAACAATTCTTCGTATACTGGAAGCTCAGACCAATTTGCAAGAGTTTTTTAAACATATTGAGATTTTCTCATAGATCCACCAGATGATCGTTGGTAGTTAACTTTGGGTGTGCCAACAAGAGTATTTATGAATATCTTGCGTTCATTCCAAGTGGTCCTTAACCCAATTTATTGCAAATTGAACGCCTTTGCTCCTAATCTACAACGTTACACTGTCGATATAAAGCCATCTGTGAAAAATAAAATCAGGAAATGCATGAAGATTGCTTGCTACCAGCGGCATATAAATTCCCATTATTTAGCGTCTAGTAACTTACCACGTATGAGAGTATTTTTTTCGAGTAGCCAGCAAGGGTCGAGAACCCATTTTGATCAAGAGAGCCATAAAAGGTAATATTTTCAATTGCATTTCCGTGCGAGCCATATAGCATTTATTTACTTAATCAGGCCTGAAATTTTTACTCAAAAGTCAACAGATACAATATCAATATATATTTAATGTGACTTCTGATGCTGCATGTTGTCGCTGCGGGCCGTGAACAGCTGCTCACATTCAGCACAAGTTAAAATCCACGATACTCAGAACCCTTTTTTCGTTCAGGCATCTTCGTAGTATTTTGAAAACTAGCTTCGCTGGTCCGATTTAAATATGACAAATACTGTAACTAGTACTTACAAACTGACGAAAAGCTTTATTCTATTGCTGCGCGACTCTATCGCTTTTTGTGATGTCACAAAATATGTTCCAGAATCCTCTAGTTTTGTATCACAATTCACTAGGCGCGCATTCTCAAACGTAGTGGCAAATTATCTGTCAAATTTGGGTATAAAGGAGTTTGAAATCTCGTAACAATAGTAAGCTTAGCTTTAGTTAAACAAAATACTAGATTTTACAAGGTTCCCGATGTCTAAAGTAGACAGGGGCGGATTAAGCCTCTTTGGTGCCCTAAGCACTGAAGACTTTGGTGCCCCCTCATGTGTAATTTAAATATAAAACAATAAACCAAATAAGTGTATTATGCATTAAAATTAATCACAACCAACAGTAAATAAAACAACTTTTACGAACATTTTTAGGTTTTTTAACTGTTATATATGGTTCCCGTACATTTGAACCCACGACAATTGCACCTGCATATATTGCACCTATGAAATTTCCATACTAACCCTAACCCATGGGTTTGAGCCCCCGTATATAGATTGAACCCGCGGATATACACATGGATTCAAATGTACGGTGCCCGCTGACGATATATATGATATATCGGCAGATACGCAATATCGGGCCGATATATCGGTTAAGGGAGTGTGACAATAAAGATTCGTGCCTCCAGTCTCAACGTGAATGAAAATACCAAAGGATACAAGTCACAACTGTAGTTTGAAATTTTACCGGTACGTAGTAGTCTTTCTCAGAGTGGTCCAAGGTTGCTAGGTTGAAGGACCGCTAAAACTTTTGAGGAGGTCTCCCGGGCCGCAGGCCGGAGAATACCCAAAAGTGATCGAAATATCGCGAGTTTACTTACTTCAAATTTAATAAACAACGAGAGTTTACTGTTCTAATCAGACTATTATTATGTTGCATGGGTGGCATTCTTTTAAAGAAGATATATAAAGCCTTCAGTTATTTTAAAGTTAATTCCCGATAATTACCGTTGTGTTTTGCGCATCTCGCGTTAATGTGACTTCAAATTATATTCTTTCGTGACAGATATTACTTGAAATCAAAGCGGACACTGTGTGATGGGCAAGGAAATACGTTTCCGCCATGTTTTCTTTATGTCACCTTTCTTGCGACACTCATTTTATTACGAATTGTTATATTTAGTAATTTAAAAACTTGCAGCGTAAGCAAGATTATTGATACCAACCAAGTCCGTCTAAGTTGGTATTTCGGGACCTAGCTATAAAAAACTGGATTGCGCGTCCTTAAGACGGCTCTGCGTTCCGTCACTACTGTCACATGGCCGACGCTTGTAAACAGAGGAGTGTTTGGCCACCCTGGTCTACCTTATCAAAAAACTCCCGACTTCGCTGACCACTAGATAGTTGAAATGCGATCGTGGAACCGCCACATAATGTAAATAGTTTATTGGTCTAATTGTTGAAAAAAAAAGGAATTTTTTTAAAACAAAAATGTAGCAACAAGGTGAATACTAGAAAGAAAAAACAACAACAATTTATTGCTCACATTTTTGAATTCCAAAATTAATTTAAAAGCAAAAATGGTAAACTCCTAAGTTAATGGACTTTATAGTTGTTCATGCTAATAAAATATTTCAAAAACTGCACCAAAATAGAAGACGGAGGTTGTTTCCTTTGCTTCAGGATATAGCAAAACCTTGAAGAATCCTTCACCATTCAAGTGTAGCAAAGCATTCCTGAAATAGTCAAAATAAAATACGTGCGGTGGCGGCAAAGAGCACGACTAATTGACAGAATGGTCATTTCATCAGTCGAAATTGAAAAACATGTAATTAGTGCCTTTGAGAAGCAGAATAATCTTGATTTTTCTTTAAGAATCCGGATGAATCCAGCTCAGTGTCTGATTTTCGAATCCGAATCCAATCCGGTATCGGGAAAATCATAAAAATTCAGCCAAATAAAAATCCGGCAACTGGATTCTGCACACCACTAGTAGGCATGAAAGTTTGGGTAACATAGGAATTCCCACAACGAACTCTACCAAAGAAACCATATCCATGAATAAACAAGTATGGTAAACTAGCGAATATACAAAATACAAAATTACGATTATATGATAAAGATTTTTATCACGAGACACCGTTGTTCAGACGACTGGTTTTCAACGCTGAACTTGCATATTCTGGTTTGGCAAGTTACCATTCAAATACGAGAGCCGATATCAGGGGTGTGCAAACTGTGACCCGCGGGCCAAATGCGGCGCACAGAAAAAAATTGTGCGGCCCGCGGAGGCCAATTTTGAATGGTGTGCCCGCTTAACGAGTTATTAGTTTAGTTAATGTGTTACGCGCAAGCAATTTCAATCCATTGCGTAGCAAAACCTATATCAGCACGCGAGTGCCACTGACATATTAGTAAAACTAGCTAGCAAAATACATAATGCTTCAAAAAGGGTTGCCCATAAAATTTGTTTAAAGTCGGTATAACAAATAATTTGAATAGCATTTTTCTTTAGAAATTTATGCGTTTCAAATCACCATTTCTGCAATGACCCCTAGGACCCAACAATGCAGAATTATCAACAACAAAAAGAACATATAGTTTGTGCCTGTAACTACTAGAAAGGCTATCTTGAAGAAAGCTGCGGCCCGTGGCTTCATCCAGTTACTTATATCTGGCCCGCTTGTTATAAAGGTTGCACACCTCTGGCCTATATTGTTGTATTTGCATTGTTTAAACATAATTACATACCTGTTAGGTTTGTCGCTATTATTACCAATACTACACTTTAAAGATCTTTTTTTTTACCGGTAATAGGTTTTATTGCATATGTATTTAAAGTTGATACAATTCAGACAATAAAACTTTTGCAAAGGTATTTCTTGAAGCATTCAGAATGTTTCATTGATGTTCTGCTCGGCCAGAAATGTTGACAACCACTTTTTTATAATACATCCTTTGGGTTATTGATGCTGATTGGCGTACACTTTATGATCCATACAACAGGTATGTTTGAACAAAGTTGCATGCACGTATAGCAAATTTACAGTTAATTTTACTGGATCTAATAATAATGAGAACTTTAAAATCATATTTGAGGCGTAAATTAGTTCTAATTTCCTCCAACTTGTCTACGAAACAATTATACAAAATGAATAATTGAGGCACGATAAACCCAGTTTGGATTCATTCCAGAGAGGATAGGAAACATTGGTTTCGCTTTTCTAGTAATTCCTTCAATGAAAAACATCTGAAGTATTATGTGTTATTATGTATTTAGAATCATGCAAAATATTACAAGAAATTAATTGTCCCCTCATTGCGGACTACCCCCTCATTGCGGTTTATATATATATAGCCTTTTTTGTGATTGATCAGTTGGACATCAGCGGATATAGAGTCGTATATTCGACAACCAATGTAATGATTATTCATTTAATGGTGATATGGCTATATGTTTTTTTGGTATTGGTGGAGAGCATAGAGATCAGAAATGAAGGTGATTTGCGCAGGAATGTCCAAATGCGGAACAAAGTCGATGCATGTTGCGTTGGAAGAACTGGGGTATACAGTATGTGACTTTCCCGACGCGTTTGTTCACTTTGTCAAGAATTATATGACATTCGCCAACAAAGGTTGGAATTCTGATGAATTTAGATCAATGTATGAAGATTTCGATGCGTGTGTGGCCAGTCCGGCATATTATTTTTGGGAGGAATTGGTGGAGGTGTTCCCAGAAGCAAAGGTTTGGTATCATACTTTCATTCTAAAATTATAACGATAAATAAGATAAAAAAAAACTCATTCTGGGCATCAGACGTTGTTGATTATGTATCACTTTTAATAATATTTGGAATAAAACATTAAATTTATAATATATTTCTACACCAATATTTAACTGCACTTAAACGCACCTATATGTCTACTCGTTTTATGATAGATTTCATATTCATCCACAATTTATGCTTTACTGTAAGACATTTAGGATTTGAATTATTTTTGTGGACATCTGGAAATCTATAAATTTACTAATATCTAAAACATAACATGCACGCGGCGTAAGCTTCAGCTTCAACAACTTTCTATTTCATTACTTAGATTCTAATTGTTGATATCCTAGGTTATATTGATGGTGAGAGACAGTGATGAAATTTGGTACAAAAGTATAAGGAAACAAAGGATTGTTGGCACTGGCAATGGATTGCATCGCTACTATTATCCCCTTTTTTCGACGATTTGGAGAAAATTTGCTGCATATTTGAATAATCCGTGTGAGTCTTTAAGTATGTATATTATGCTGTAATAAATATATTAAAATTTGAACAAAAACATTTATTTCAAACTTCAGGGAACGAGTGATATTGGGAGTTGTAAAATTTGAAAAAATTGTGTATGGTTATATGCATTTACAGGTCTTATCGCTTTTGGACATAAAACAACCGGCATATTCAATTTTCCCACGAATCACACACCAGCAGCACTGCCTTTCAAGTTAGCTTATAGAAAACATATTGCTCATGTCACTCATGTAAGTAAAATACCTTTTTTGAATATAATTTTCAAGAGAATATATATCTTCGGAATAGCTATTACCCAGACAATTGTAGCATGCCGACTAGGTATTAATTATAACGACCATTTTCAATATCAGTTATGTTTTATTTGAATATCATTCTGTACTTGCTTTCACTTCAGAGCTGTCCAAAAGATAGACTTCTAATAATTCAATGCAAAAGTGATTGGAAACCGTTATGTGAATTTCTTGATAAACCTATACCAACAAAACCATATCCGTGGATAAACAAGGATGGTGAACTGGCGAATATACTGTGGAAAATGCCTTTTTTAAAGCAAGCTCGAAGAGAAATGTTAACAAATGTCACTATATTATCAGCTGGAATTCTGTTGTTGGGAATATATTTAGTAAGGATTAAATGAATGACATGCTTTATTTTTTGCGAACATTTGTTGGCGTGTTTAGCTTAAATCAATACATAAACTTGATCGTTGATCTTTGACGCACATACAGGAATTATTCAGACTCCACTATATTCATTCTAAATCTTTTCCCAAAATTGTCTGTAAAGCATAAGTCATGTTTGCAGTGGGTCATAAAACAGAATACATTTAATTATCAGTTCATTTCTAAAAATTCAAATTGGAAAATCTTACACTGGTACATGACCATTCTGCATTATTATATTTCATATATTTTAGTATTTTGATTGTTTTATAATATATATAATCCCAAAACAATATAAAATATACAAATATATTTTGTGTGTTATATATCCTAATTCAAGTAGTTTTAAGTGATACAAAATAACGATTATCTGATACAGAATTTTCTCACAAGGGATCTTTGCCCAGACTAACGAACTTAGGTTATTGTTTTCGACTGACGTACACTTTTTAACTATGATTCATTATACAGTTACGTTTTAACAGAGCTGAATGAAAATATAGCAATTCGTAGTTAAAATTGTTGAATGCAATTATTAATTGAATTTTATAATCATTTTTTTTTAAATATGTTCTAATATTGTCTAATTTGTCGGATATAATCTTGCCTATAATATTTGGAGAAAATTTCAAAAATTACGAATTGTTTCTTTTGATATAATTACACATTAATTATTATAATATGATCAAGAGAGATTGAAATCAACGACTAGGTTTGTTTTTTTCCTGAAATTGGTCCTTAATATGATACCAACGGTGGATGTTGGTATTGTGCTCCGCATCCATTTGAACAGCAAATCAGGCCTTTTCGGCAATCTCTGTTCGATTCGCACTCGTTTACACGGATTTCCACGTCATTTATTTCAGAGCAATTGGGTCTGTCACTGTGAGAAACAAAAAATAGGAGATAGCTTGAGATGCATGAGGCATTTGCTAATTTACACAAATCTTAATCTGCAATTACAGCAGCAAAATCAGATTTGCGGTAGAACTAATATCGAGACTGATTTGCGATTTACGTACGGTCAATTTAGATTCAAAAAACCCGAACACAGCAGGATGAGAAAGATGAAGATACATTATTAAATCTCTGAATTCAAGAGTTGAAATCAAATCAATAAATTTTTAGGCTTGTGATATCGTATTTATTGTACAGTGAAAACTACATGTATGTAAGTGAGATCGAAATGGGAAACGTATGTTTGTTTTTTAAATTGTATTATCAAAACAAACTGTTCTACATGATGCATTTTCTGTTAATGTTGTGTGCTATTTCTGCTGACTGAAAAAAAAAAGATTTGATCCATAATGATTTGTCAGTCATGTTTGATAATTTCACGACTTTCACGAAAATTATTAAAAATAAAACCAGCAATGACAATAGTATATAGACTACTGCTATATTGAGAATATTTGCACGAATCTTCATATCGCTTGTTTCAAGTTTCAAAACGCTTGAAAATCTTCAAATGATTGAAATGAAAACAAATCATAACTTTTGTAGTTTTTATTCAATTTAGAAAATTTAGAAGAAATTGAATGTGGTTGGAAATTGGAGTGGAAATGTGTTTTTTGTCGTGAAAATTTACTTTTCATGAACTCACCATTTTTTTTTCACTTTGAGAGATTAGTATGATCTCGATGGAAAAATCATTGGCTAGTTGGCTTGTGTCATTTTACTGTGATTTTGTCCGAAAAAGACAGGACATGCAAAATAAATAACATATAAATTACAACCTGCCTCTTTTCAATTGGCGTTGACCCCACTCATACACTCATGATTTATTTTTTTAAATGCTGACTACACTGGAATATGGATGGGTAATAGCATTGTATATTAATTATGAGTTTTTGCACATAAAAGATGCTCTTTGGAGAGTGGCCTTGACTACTTTGGTTTGGTTTGGATATGTATATATATGATTTACTATCATGAAACTAGGATAAAATTATATGAAATATCTACAAACCCTTTAACGCCCACATGGGATGCTGTACTTTGGCTGTTAAAATCTGGTACTGAAAGCATTAATACCGCTCTATCCTTTTATTGTCGTAATGTGTCGTAGTGATAGAAGAGAAAACAAAGTTTCAGCTATGACGCAAAGTGCGAGTTATATAAATAGCATCGATTGAAAATGAGGTGGCAGACCTTCGTAAGAATACATATACCCACTTATACTCAGAAAAGAAATGACAAGCGATACTCCCTTCTAATGGACTTTTTATAGGTCTAACATATATTTTTAGTCATTTATTGCATGCTTGGTCATGTAATGTATTACAAAAAAAAACTTTCTCCACCCGACCAGGCTTGGTAAGGGGTTATAGCCGGTTTTATATGCCTCTCCCGGAAGGAGCGCAAAATTAAAAGAATTGTGTTAATTAAATGTAACTAATATATGATTGGATATTTTACATATTGCATTTATTAGAAATGTTTCATTATTTTTTATTTTAAATGCTGTGTAAATGAAAAAATAAAATCATTTATATTTCTAAGTCGTTTACATTCTGTTACGTGAGGTCTGCCTCTATTGTTACGTAACAATAAAGGTAGACACGATATGCTGCAGTTTCGTTATCTGCTAAACTGAGAAAAACCTGAGTAATTTGAGTAAAACCAATAGGTGGAAATTTTTTTCACTACTTTATCTGCGAGTTTGCACGATTTTGACAGCCATGGTTTAACTTTAAAATTTCCTATCTTCGATTCTCATGTTAAAATGAGATCTGTGAAGACACGTTGCCAGGAGTTAATAGTTGATATATAATCGAGAGTTGGACTCATTAGGCTTATTTCATTGTATCCCACTGATCATTGCTGGGCTTTCTTTGTTGTGGGGTCTCAAATATCTATAATTTTAAATTTTCACGAAAATTGGAGTCGCGGAAAGTTTGGGAACCGCTGTACTTAGACTTGGACTAACAAAATTTAATTCATAGCTTTTTGCTGACGTATACTTTTTTGACTATGTTTTATAAATCAGCAATGTTTGAATGAAGCTGAAGCAATATTCTTTGCTTCAGCTCCTGAAGTTCTATTTATTCTTCTATTCTGAAGTCTTTATTTCGATCAATATTATAGTGAACAAAACAAAATAGAATGAAAATGAAAGTTATATGTGCAGGAATGTCCAAATCTGGAAGTCTATGGATTCTGCACTAGAAGAACTTGGTTATACAATATACGATTTTCCTGACGGGTTTCGTCTCTTACATACTAATTACAAGAAATGCGCCATTGAATTGTAATTTAGACCAATGTACAAAGATTTCGATGCAGTTGTTGCCAGTCCAGTGTGTTACTTTCAGAAGAAATTGGTGGAAGTGTTTCCGGAAGTAAATGTTTCATACAATTACTATTCTTCTTAACGTAACAATGGGAAATTATTAGTATTGAGAGGTCAGGAATTATACACCAAAATCAAGAACTAGCCCTCACACATGCCTAATCTTGAACGTTGAGCTGCTAACACTAGCATCAGTATATTGAAATAAATTGACTAAATTAAATTTGCGTTACATAAGCAATGTGTTCACAGCTTTTTGTTAATTGGCTGGCAGAGTAAATTCTATATATGTTTATTTAATTATTTGCAATTCAACTATACTAATATATTTAACATTTTAATTTGCGTACTGGCCGGGGCAGCTGTCCGCCTTTCATATATACGAAATTGTCATTATTTGATTCTATTGTTACTGAAATTGAGAAGTTTAACATGTCCTTATTTTAAAACTCATTTATTCTGAAATTCACTTTACAAACTATTGGTATGGTTACTTTAATGTTATTTAGTTTTTGACACATTAGGTTATGTGGATGGTAAAAGAAAATGTTGAAATTTGATACAAGAGTGAAAAGAATCAGATAAATAGTTTCGTGGGCTTACACCATTACTATTATTCATTTTTTTACGTCAAATTGAAAAAAAAATTGCTTCTTTGTAATGTTTCATGTCAGAAGATAAAACCTTTTTGAATAAGTTGATCATAATTTTTACAAATCATTGATTGCATCGTTTCAACTGCGAGATGACGCTATGGGACCACATAGTGATGATTTGGTGTCCCAGACGTTATAAGTCAGCAAATTCACTGAGATCGTAGAACTGTTTGTGGAAAATCATCTTCGTACTAGAGAAACTTTAGCAATGCATTTTGCGCATAATATTTTATAATTTTTCACACAAATTTATCAAAATGGAATAAACGGAGGATATTGACAATGAGTACCACATCCATTTGAACAGCAAATTAATCCTTCTGTGCAGTCTATGTTTGATTTACATTCATTTGAGCAGATTCCAACTCTCTCTTCAACTGGAGGACATCGTGGGTCTGTAACTAAATTAAAATGAAATAAATAATAAACAATAATATTATATGAATTTCTCGTCATCAGTCTCTTTGTTTGATTATTATGACGATATATTCGTAAACTTGGAGCTAGTGCTGTGAATAAAATATGTATTTTGCCATTTCTCGCATAGTGTCTTGTTTTCTTGTTTTTATTGAAAAAGTCTAAACAATAATTTATCCAAACTGTTTAAATTTCCCGCCGCATTTTTCCCATCAACAGTCTTTAAAATAGCAATAAAATCTAGAACCGAGAGCTTTGTGGAAGATATTAAAAAATCGATATTTTCGCAATAATATATTTATATAAATAATTAGAAAAATACATTGCACTTTCATGTACATACTGTTTGTCACCAGTATTCATATATCTCGTAGTATGAGCAAATAGATGGAAAGTTAAAAAAGTAAAAATTATTCAAATATTAAATTTATATAGAAAGAAATCGTACATGGTGGCGAGATGCATCTTTGACGGCAACCATTATAACAACATATATCTCCATTCTTGCATTGATCATTGCTGTGACATGATGGAGGAAGACACAATATTCTTTGACGGAGTTCCAACATCCTTGGATCTATTGGCGGGCATCGTTCATCTAAAATATAAAAGTAAATCTATGTTTATAAATCAGAACAAAACTATGGACTTTTTTTTTCAGCTTTTGAGATAATATTGTTTCTTATAAGAGCTTGATTATAAAACTGCAAAGATGTGTCATTTTTTAAGAGCGACAAATAAGTTCTAAAACCAATTATCCTCTCACAAACTTGATGCCCTTACGTTATCTTGGATTTCCTCGTACAATGACAGGAATTTTCATTTGCTTGTAATCCACAGTCACTTCGACAGAAAAAGCACTTGAAATATTCGGTTTATATTTTAATTTTCTATTTCGATGCAGATTTAGTCAACAGCCCCATTTTTGGATTTAATTAAATAATATTAATATTAGTATAATGGAACGCAGTAGAACAAAAAATTTAAACGGAACAATCACATACCAAGTGGTGCTTTTACACATTGACTTCCACATCCGTTCGAACAACATATTCTTCCGTAATTGCAATCATCGTTTGAGTAACAACGATGAATACAAATTCCTATTTGATCGGTTGCATAAGTGACAGGACATTTTGGATCCCATCTCGGAAGTAATCGGATCCCTAAAAGATGATGAATTAGCAACAAAATATTATTGAATAAAATTACTAATCAACTTCAAATAAAACAATTTCTAACTGCACAAACCTGCATTGACATTGGTGAAGTATACAGCAAAACAGATTACACTGGCAATTTTCATCATATTGTGGTTGTTTTCTTTTTCAAAGATTCGAATATCTTTGTTCAATATAGCTTCTTGAAAATACAACTTTCTAACTCAATTGAGGACATAAGGAAAAGGAGTCATATATATAGGCTATATCGCGAACGACCTTGACTTTTAAAAGTATAAATCATCTGGGAAACTCCATAACTTAACATCCTGTCATAATCCAATATTTTTTTAAAAAAAATATTTCATTTAAAGAGAAAATTTAAAAGATGATGAATGGAAATTTAACTTGTGAGAAGTCCCATCATTTTTTAATATGTTTACATCGTTTACGCAAAAACAAAATTTTAAATTTTGTGGCACAATTATGACATTGCATTTTGTCATAAAATCCCCATAAATATTCCGTGTACAAAATAAGAATGCGTTGTGACGAACTCATACTACCTGATTTCGATGGTGCAATTGACATCCTATTGCCTGCGGGTACATACGTAGAACTATTGCAACTGACTGAGTTAAAAAGTTTTTTAGCTCTGAATATCAGGTATATTTATATACAATCTATATTTATACCGAACCGCTTTCAGCAGCACGATTAAAGATTGATATAAAACATTAAAACGATGTATTTTGATCACAAAAACCTCCTTTCAAATAAATGAAGCTTATATTTATTCTTAAAATATGATAATTAAAGGTATAGGTAGTTTCCATCGTGCGCTTGGTATTGCATTTTTTATGACGTGGAACGTATGACGTAAACATGGTGATGATGTAACGCGGGTATGATATGTTTACGCACGAGGTCATGTGGAAAAATGATTCGCGACTTCTCCTAGAACTGAATGTTCATTTCATTTTCCACATTTCCGTAAGTGTCAAAACTGGGCAAAAAATATTATACCGCTATATGGTCAAATCTCATCCCATCATATTGCATAAAATTGGAAATTGATTAAATATGCTTTATGTCTCTTGTTTTCTTGTTTCTTAGTTTCTTCAGAACAATTTTCAATTCGTTTTCATTGAATGGCCCGGTCTTCATTACTAATTCATGCTCGCGATTGATTTGGATGGGGATATCAGATACTAGGGGCTATTTACCAAGTTGATTTTCGAAATTACATTTCCCTTTATTTAAACGCTCTTCTTGACTATAAAGCTTTGATTTTAGCTTTAGTAACTCTTTGCATACCATTAATTTAATTGACAGTTTTCCATGCAAGTGATGATTGATTGCTTTCTGTGGAAATTTCAGACTGAAGGTAGTTCTGCTGCTTTTTAAGGTTTGTAGCTTCAAGATCTTGCTGAGCATCTTTATGCTTTTTGATGTTGTTTCTGCTAGAGCTGGTGTTTTTATTATTTGTGCAAGTCTTTATTATTTTCTTCTTTTATATTGAATCATTTCGGTTTCCCTGGGCAATTTTCATTTAACTTTTTCATTTTTTGAGATCAATATTTCTGTAGATGATATATGAGCCTTGACAAAGTTTTTATACGCGTTGTAGTTGCCGATGTGCTTAACTTGTTTGCTCGTAGTCTAAATTTGATTTTTAACGTGATTATGCGATGATCCGATGAGATTCTTCGTCTGAAGTAAGATTCGCAATTTTTAGCACTATTCATAATTACCTATTATGTAGTCGAGTGGGGCTTTTTGTCTATGCATGCAAACGTCCGGAGTTTTCCTTTTCTCTGTTGGAAGTGAATGCTGACGCAAACCAGTCCGAATTCTTTCAAAAACTCATCCAAATGTTCTTGATTTCTATTAAAGAATTGGTATTAAGTTAATCTGTGATTTTGATTCATGCCTAATTGTGCGTTGAAGTCTTCACTTACAGTTAGTACATTTATAGGATTTACTATCATAAAAAATATAAAATTTGATGAACAAAGTTTTTGATTAACATTCTTTTTGCTTCGCTTGCTATGAAAACAGTACCAGAAAATTTGCATGTCACATCAAAATATCACATTTCTTGTGATATTATCTTCAGTAAGGGAGAAAAAAATTTGTGCCATAAGTTCATTTCTCAATTCGTCGTATTACAAAAACTATATTTGGTACATAAATATTATGACAATTTTGATTCTTAGGCAAATTATCATTTTTTTCGATGAATTAAAAAATACGAATAAAAATATGACTAGGTTTACTTACGTGAACAACATGTGCAATTTGTTTTCTATAGTCCAGATGGAAAGAAGTTTCGGTGGAAGAACGATGATAAAATCAAACATTCTTGGGAATATAGGTCCAAAATCAAGCATACCTGCAAGGAATGCTACATCGAGATTCAAAATCTTGTCAATATCTTGTCTTGTCTAGTCTAAATTGTTAACTGGTTTTCTATATTTTTGTCGGAAGTATATCCTAACAAAATTATTAATTACCCTTCTGTATCTCAAATTTAGTAAAATTCGGTAATCAATCAATCTGCAGTTATTTTGTAAACATGAGTTCGAAAATTGAGCTGATCAATTCAAACGAACGATCTAAAACGGCATTTTCTTCTTATGGAACTTTCTTCGTTCTGAATTGAAAATCTTACACTAAATGTAGATATAGTAAGTTTTTTCCAGGTTTTAGTGGGATTTTTAGTGGTTTTTGCATGTTTTAGTTTGATAAATAACAAATATTGATCAATGTGTTTGGAAAATAAAAGTGGTTGTTTTATATTGTACTGTTTACTGTATATACAGTTTTTACTTATTCCTGGCACTGTTGAGGCCCGCAAACGACACAAAAATAATAATGTGGCCCTCGATGGCGACAACCTTGGAGCACCCTGCTCTAGAATGTCCAAATAAAAAACAAAGCCTGAGCATTCCGCATAACTTGGTTATAGATTATGCGATTTCTTGACGCGTTAAAATCAATTCCATAATAATTTCACGAAATTCGCCTTTGATGGCTGGAGTTCGAATGAATATAGATCAATGTACACATATTTTGATGCAATTGTGATACTATTCTAGTGTATTGCTTTTGGGAGGAATTAATGGAAGCAAAGGTTTCATACATTTAATCTGGAACATTTTTCTACCAGGGGTGGGTGTCAAACTTAGTGTGTTTTTGGTGTGTTGTGTTTTTGAGGGCCACATTGCATGTGGGGAATTGTGCTAAGGGCCACAAACAATTTTTGATATATTTTGATAATGTATATAAGCATATATTTAGATAGCTGTAGATTGTGACATATATTGTGATGTAACTAAGTTAAAGTAATAGCCTTCTGGCAAAAAATTCAATCTTCAATCGCTGATAATTTCAAAGCAATTGGTCCAGTATTCGAAGAGAAAAGCGATTTCATCATGACGAAAGAGAAGACTAACAAGAACAACAACATAATATTGAAACGATCGTTATGTACACTGACGTGTCCAACAAACTGACTGACCTTTCGGACCAGACATTTCCCGCCACGTTTTGCGACATTTCCGACCATTACGTGGCATAGGACCGTTCGAGTTATGATTGATATTGATTTTTAATAAATAGGTAATTGTTCAATTATAATAATATACAAATACATGACAATTTTTTGTTCGAAGTTGAACTTTAAGTTTTTCATATTGACTGCGGTGCTTATTCTATTAATGTCTACTTATATTGTATCCTTCCATTGTATTGATGGAAATGTGACAAATTGAACAGTTTGCTTTAGACTTGAGAAATGCAGAAATATTGTAACTATCATATTTCTTGGAAATGCGACCTTCTTCATGTACTTTGCATTTCTTCTTAATCACTGAAGTTTTATTTTTCAAGTTTTTTTTTTGCTAGCTTAAGGTGTATTCATAATTTGGTCAAAATCAGAACAAAAACATTTGGAATTTTTCAAAACTACTTTGTGTAAATTGCCGTTTTCTGTGTGAATAATCAATTTCACTGTGAAAAGTTTGAAAAATGTATTATTCGTATCGAGGCGTCATGAATTATACACCAAAATCGCGTGCTCTCTCTCATACGGACCTTATCTTAAACTCCCAGCTTCCAATACTAGCTTCATTCTATTGAACTAAATTGACTTCCTAAAATTTGCATCAACAGCAATGATTTTATAGCTTTCAGTTACATCAACGCCACCGTATATTCTGTAAATGTTTATTAAATTATTTGCAAATAAACATAACAATATATATATATATATATATAATTCAAGCTGGGTATTGTTACTGAAATTCTAAAGTTGGAAATATCAATAATTGTAAACTTGTTTAGTCATATAATTACAATACAAACTGTAGATAATGTTACTATATTTTTACTGCATGGGGTTATATTGATGGCAATATATAATAATATAATCTAATACAAAAGTGCAAAAATAGATGGATAAATTTGATGGCTTATTTCGTTACTATCATCTTTTACTTATGTCAACCTGGAGAAAGTCTGCATCCCTTTGGAATGGTCATTGTGACATTGTAGCGAGTACATAAGGATAGTTACTGTATGTTTCAATATTCATCATCACTTTTTGTTAGTAGTGCATGTTATTTGCCTAACATTGCGGTAGAATAAAATAATGTATTTTAGCATGAGGAGAGACGCGATAAACTAGTAATGGCTATCGAGCTAGCGTCACCTTTGAGGGAGTCTCATTTGACAACATTGAATCGTATAAAGATAAAATTTAAAAAAAAGCCGAACTATAAATACATTTAACTGGTAGTTTCATTGTCGCTCGTGGTAATGGGAGAGAACTACTCTAGGTACGACTGGCGGGGTGTCCCACTTGTTCCACCTTGCTCCATGCGTCCCAAGGTCGTGAAAATTAGCGCAAAGGTGAACTATACCTGATTAAACTATTGTAAATACTATTTAAAAATAATATTCATTTCAAAAATTTGAATGGTGATACATGAATTAGAAATATACCGATGCAAATATAACAGTGATCATTATTTCAGCTTGTCAATAAGGTTTTCCAGAACGTAAGAAATTGAAGATTCAAATATGTAAACGACTGTCATTAGAATTAATGCTAACGGTTTAAACTAGAGTACGTGAATCAGTTGTACCGTAATTGGCTTTGCCAATCTAGTAGGCTACGTATGCAAGGTTGCGCATTGAAAATTTTCAATGAAACTATGGTAGTTTCTGCAAACGTTTTGTTGGGCACAGTTGCAAGGAATCGCGGTGTTCGATCGAAGTAGTCTATAAACCTTTAGGTATAGGTAAATATATATGGTAATAACTTAAAGTTAAAAATAACAAAAAGTTCAAAATTGCGATAAAACCTCATGATATCAGAAAACATGACGTTACATACCAGTTTCTACTCGCGATGATGGGAAGTGGAACACATGAGATTTGTGGAATATGTAAGACAAGTGAGACGAGTTGGACACGTGAGACAAACGGAGCACGTGGGACTCTTGAGCGTTTTTTTAATCATATGTGTGCTTAATAATCTCTATATATATATATTTGAAAAGGTAAAGAGTTACGGACAATATTGTGGGAAATAATAATCAAGGGTACAAGTTCACATGGTTCATGGTAAATATAGGAGTTCAGGTAATACTGTGCAGTAAAGCAATATATATATTTGGGTACAGTTGGTCAGTATACTTTCACATAATATTTGTGACAAATAATTTATTTCTAGATTATTAAAAACTTGTTTTAGTAATATGTATCATCTGCATTTATATTATGATATCATTTAATGCAATACTTACAGATGCATAAATCATTTATCCTGACCGGAACCACCTTTAGATATATGACATGATGTCTAACATGCTTACAGTTTTTATCGTGTTACTGGCGTTTTTGCAATAGCGAATAGCAGTTTGACATACCGGGTCGAAAAATTCAATTCTTTCAAAAATACTTCATATGTTTTATTATTTGGTGAATAATATGTGTTGCATGAAATAAGTTGAGACAGGATGTTGCATGATATAGGAAAGCGTGTTTCAACAACGAAAAGTATTGATCACAATTTCATGTTAAAAGCACATACTCCTCATTCAATTTCAACCATATTTTACAAAGTAATATCCGGCGCATACAATACCAGCGAACAACAAAGTGGCATTTGTTAACATTTCAGTTTTAGCTTTCTTGAACATTGGCAATTCCCAAAGCATGTGTGCTAATTCACAGTTTTTGTTTATCCATGGAAAATCTTTTCTTGGTACGTCCTTTCCAAGAAATTTACACAGAGGTTCCCAACCACTTTTGCAGTTGTAAATTAGAAGACGATCTTCTGAGCATCTCTGAATTAGATAAAAGGTTTATTATATAAAGCAAGGTGATTTTTTTTTTTTTTTTTTTTTTTTTTATAAATAATGTATGGTATATATTTTTTTGTTGTTTCGAATTTCAAACCCCGTTTCTTTTATTCAATGCATTATATTAAATAGTTGTTTGCGTGCTGCACCAACTACATATAATTAGGAAAAACTAATTAAACTACTAATATAATTAAAATTAAATTAAAAGTCTATACTCTATACTTTATAACACTAGATCAAAACATCAAATTCTAGTAATGTTCCCTACAAGCCGTTTGTGAATTCTACATACCCGAGTTACATGAGCATTGTGCTTTTTATACGTCAGCATAAAAGGAAGTTTCGGGGGATCTTTCTCTCCAAAGTACATAAAATTATATTGTTCTCGTCCAAAAGCAATGTTACCTAAATTTTGAATTCAATATTTTAATGCTCAAATCACAAATGCAATATCAAATTTCGTGGTTGATTCGATTTATTGTAATGGGAAATATTTTGAGCTAGTTCAACAAACTAAAAATAGAGTAGCTCATTTTGTATATAATATGTTGCCATTCGAATATCTTTGTTATTTTCCCCATTTTATGTCAGATAATTGGATAATTGAAAAATATTTTACGCAGTATACAATGTACCAACATCAAGAAATCAATAATAATTCTGATTATATAACTTCGCTTATAGCACCAACGCATCCTTTGAATGTTCACTAAAAAAAATTTTAAAATAAAACTGCATATGTTGGCAAACCTCAACAAAAAAAATTTCAATAAAAAATTGAGGCAAATTATTTGTTTTAAGAATATAATGTTACTTGCAATTTTTTGCAAATTCCCAAAATCTTCTCCAGGTTGGCGAAAGAAGTTGATAGTAGTATCTATGCAATCCATTGAAAGCAAGCAACTGTTTTCTAATACTTTTAAACCAAACTTCTTCGTCGTCCCTAGTCATTAGTATTACCTGTTGAACAAGCAGATTAGTAAATCTTGCTGACTCCTTTTAAAAATCTTTGCAAAAATGTATTGTGGGCCCTCCTGTCATCTAATCTTCTTGGTACAGTCAGTCATAAACTAGAACTTTTTTCTTTCATTTTAAAAATTTTGCATATGCCGGACCAAATTGTCAACGTTTGCAACTTGTCACATATATATGAGAGATTATAAATTTCCAGTTGGATTATGTGATCTCAACTTGTTTGTGGTAGTTAGAAATCATAAGATGGTGAGAAAGATTGTTCATTTATATATATTGGGCTTTTAAACCAACTTCATCAAGTACAAGCTCATACAAGTATATGAACAGATGAAAAACCGAAAGCAATGTAAATATATCTAACCTTTGCTTCCGGAAAAACTTCCATCAATTCTTCCCAGAAGTAATACGCTGGAATGTCCACCACAGCATCGACTTCTTTGTACATTACCTGGAACTGCCCGAAGGTCCATCCTCTGGAAACAAATTTCAAATATTTCGAGGCAAAATTTTCATATGCTTCCGGGAAGTCATGTACTTCGAACCCGAGTTCTTCTAAAGCAGAATGCATAGTTTTCGTTCCACATTTCGGCATCCCTGCACATATCACCTTCATTTTATGTCGTGTTACTGAATTATCACAGTCCAATGAAATCTCAACAAAGAAAAGTAGAAGCTAGCTATTACTAACAACTCAACTCTTTAACCTGATATATTTACAACGGTGTTCCAACAAGTACTTCATATTGGAACGTATGCAGAATGGGTTTCATGTAGTTTAGTACCACATATGCTTCTAGTGGGCGTGGCTTAACAATTTTTAATATATCATTTCTGACCCTACCTGACTACGTCATCTAAAAATTACGTCACTACGACGTAATATCGCTCTTCAATATCTGCGGCCGTCACCCAAGACGCGCGGACGATCTCAAGGAATCCAGCAAGCTACGTCGTATATAATGTTATACCATAGTTAACTAAATATAGTTCGCTCACGTTTTTTTCGTCTTTGTTTATTTATGTTACACTGTTCTCTCGCTACGCTTGAGTGAGGCGACACGGTATTCTCTCAGTGCGATATTGTGCTGCGTGCAGTTCTCAGCTACAGCCGATGGAGAATGAGACGGATATAAGTGAATGACATTACCGGGCCGATGATTATTAATTTGATATACATTTCAGAATATCACAATACTATATTAGAAAGTATTGTATGGAAGTTTACGTGGAGTGGAAAAGCTCGGATGATTATTATTATTAAAATATTACTGGACGGCTCAAGATGACAGGATGGTGAATATGAGAAGTCATAAGTGGATATCTAAAAAAAAGGAAATAAACCATTGTGTAGGATGGCTAGAAATTTTATAAATAAATATTGTAATTGTCTTTCTAATGGAAATTTAAATGTACATATTCCTGTATTCTTATATTTCAACTTTGAATTTGATAAAAAGCAAAAGGCTATTATATCCATGTTTTATACTGCCATCAAGGACTTAAAATTCTAACGTAATCAACCAATAAACAAATTGTCAGCATAATCCTTGAATTAAACAGAACGGTGCTAAATTAAATTCGTTTCAGGTTCAATATAATAACAATTTTGATACTGCTACATTTTGGTCTCCCGTAAAAAGTAAGATTGGTTTGAAAATGAATCAGAATGTTGTGTTCTATTGGAAAAGATAATTGTCATTTATTTTATTAATTCATGTTCACGGGCAAAGAACTTTTAAGAATGATGTGGTATTTCAGCAGTGGAATGGGAATCTATTTCTGTGCTATCCTATTTACTGATTTATCCCTGTGAATACATGGGTATGGATTCCGAATTACTTTAATGAGAGAAATAAATTTTTAATTCAGTAATTAGTTGAAAAGCAAAGACGGAAGAAATTCTAACTTTAGAACAGTAAATCAGGTTGTTTTCATCTGGTAATGTTGTGGTGTGTTGAGTCTTTTACAGAATAACCTCAAGGGAGAGTGTGGAGTTACTGAGTCATGTATATGCAGTATACATGATTTTTCAATTTTGGCATAGACGAGTGGATTAGTGAAACTATACCATACTCTTCCTGTCTTCACAGTTTCGTTAAATGAGTATAAGCATGATTTGAGTAAATTCTGAATGCACTAATTATAACTATGTAACAGGTATATTAAATTAGGTAAAACACTTAATTGCATTAATTTATTTGAACATGTCAATGTTTTATTTTCATATTTTAAATGAAAAATAAATAAAAAGCAGCCCATGGGATTAGTCCCATTACAGATTACACAACGGAGAATCGTCGAAAAAGTTAAAGGTGGCAACACCACATATAGGAAAGTAAATGCCTCGACAACAGTCTGTGACAATTTTCTGCAGATAAAGAAGTCATTCTGCCTATCTGTGCTACAACTTTTGAGAAAAACCCAACACAGTGGGCTCATATTAGAAAAAAAATTACTGACCCTTTTTCAAGAGCCACCATTCCAGCCATGTTACAAATTATATTATGACTGCAGGGATGTCCACAGTGAATTTAATTCAACTAAAACTCATTTGGGGCAGAGCAATATTTTCTTATTATCGGAGTTTGAATAAAAACACAAAGCCGATTTTAACAGGAACAAGCTACGTTAAGGCTAGTTACGGAAGTTTAAAAGTTGTAGTGTTGTTCTTGAGCCCCCCAGGCAGAGAAATGAATCCAATCTTTTGATCGTGAGTGACAATAACGACGACCCTTTAAGAGTAGTAGTTCGCTTTTTTAGACAAAAACCTGAAAGTATTCTTCCATTTTTTAATATTGTTTAATGATTATTTTATTTGGTGTTAAAGTGTTGCTCAATTGCAAATGTGTATGTGAAAAGTATCCCTGCATAAAAACTTTCGCCACGATTTCTAAAACAATCTCAGATTTACCACTTTGAGATAATTTTTCGAGAAATGAATGTAAAAATGATTGTTTTTTATTAGTCATTTAATTTTGGGGCCATAAAAGTACTACATTCCGTTCAGTATTTGAGCATATTATTGGGTCGCAAGATTTAACAATTTTTTTTTTTTTAATTTGGGTCCAAACTCTATAACGTTCAGCGTATTAAACACGTTATTCATTTAATTTTCATTAAATAAACCCCGAAGCATAGAGATACTGCAAGAAGTATAGATGCATTGGTTAACATTTCTTTTTGAGCTTGCTTCATTGTTGGCATCTCCCAGAGCATATTTGCAAATTCACCTTTCTTGTTTATCCACGGAAATTTTTTGTCTGGTAAAGGTTTACCAAGAAATTCACACAAAGGTCCCCATCCAAATTTGCAATTGTATACCAGGAGGCGATCTTTTGGACAAGCCTACAATGAAATGAAAATAGGAATCAATTAGTAGACTAAAGAAAATTTTGTTGACAAATTCATGTAAAAATAATTTGGTATTTTATATAGTTCCATTCACTTTTGTGATTTTGCATATTTCTGGGAAATAAAAAATATTGCCAATGAAATAACTCATATTAAAGTTGTAAAATTTACAAGCTCTTGAAGAATAGAAAACGCCAAGATCAGTAATTTTACTAACGTGTGTGACGTGGGCAATATGTTTTCTATAAACCAGTTTGTAAGGAAGTTCCGGAGAATTGATTGTGGTAAAATTGATACCTCTTGTTGTGTTGAGGCCAATTAAAAAGCCACCTGAGAATAAAAATATTCAAAAATAATCAAAACTTCGAATAAAAACTGACTAGTTCCAATAATCAATCAGCGTCACATAATTACAAATGACAAGAATTTTACGAATAAATGGTTCAAATCAGAAATTTTCTAGACCAGATTGAAATGTCAAGTTAAGATATCTTCTCTGTTGTTGACATAAGGTTTAGTTTGAAAAGAATTGAAACAACTCTTAGTCAATAACAACGTGTTTGTAAACTTCGGAATAACTCATTAAATAAATAGAAAAAGGTCATTTCTGTATTTCATTTTTTTTGTTTTATAGTTTTGTCTGCTTGTTTATACATTTTAAATAATGGTCGATGAAGAAAATTATAAAGTTTTCTGTAGCAACTACATTTTTTCATGAAGCATTATATATATTTACCAACGGATATGAAGCATAAATTTGTACACATATAAATTTATTTAAAAATGAAATAATTATTCTTTACTTGTAATATCAAACTGGAATAATTATCGTTGCCATTTCATAGTGCTCAAATACAAACGACAACACATACGAATATATAAAGTGTTTTTCAACTTTTCTTTGAATAAGATTCTTTTTAAAAGACGAATACTGTAACAATTGACAAAACAACACGTTGAAGACAATGTGAACTGTCTCCGAACAGCGTAATTTAATTGCATTCTCCCGCATTCTTTACGTTGCAAGATACTTTGACTTAATTTCACAAAAACCTCTGTCGATAAACTAATTAAAAATTGTTTTATCATCTCACATGGACCATTGCAAAAAGATGCAAATTTTCTCCAGGTTGACGAAAGAAATGGGTAATAGTAACGATGTAAGCCTTTAAAACTATCATTCTGTTTCTTTGCACTTTTGTACCAGGTTTCATCATTTTCTCTCACCATCAATATAACCTAATGAAGAATAAAATAAATCATAATAAAGTAACTATATTCACTGTATGTTCTGTATGTTCGAGTGATTTTTGGGACCTTATATATTCAGTTGTTTGAACTTCTAATAGTATTTAGTGCTATAACAACACAATATGTCGCCTTGCCTAAACACAGACAACATTATCAAACTAAAATCCTTTAAAAATACCAGTAGACATTATCATAATGAAGCAGTTTTCTACTGGATATGAATATTGCCCAAAGTATATTTTCCTTCGGGTGGCCATTATATACAGTCTAGCAGAAACGGGAATAGGCTTTTTCATAAATTAACAGAATTAGTGCAATAAGTTGCATATATATCTGAAAGGCGCATCAGGTGCGAATATATTTGGAATCTTATATTTTAGCTAAACAACCAGAATATGCATACAAAACTCATTATTTATAACCAGAAAAATATACAAATACAGCCAATGCCATATGAATATGAAATGACGAGCGCGTTAAAATGGCAAGGATAGTGGAATTTAATTGTGATAAAATTATTGTAAGGGTATTGGTAATAAGCTGGGCGCAAACTAGTCACATTAAATTAGTGCAAACTATCATTACTTATGACGCATTTTGTTTGAGTTAAAAAACTTCAATTCGATTGGTTTATCAAAAAGATTCCAATTTCGTTGTTGTCATTAGCACTTTCCTAATGTTGTGAGCGATCAGTTGTTGTAGAGCAGTATGGCATAACAGATTACGGCTCAGTGTACTTATTAATCCACCACACCCGCTGAATCTGTGTGTAATATGGCGGTCGTTAAACCGGCAAAACGTTTTCAACAATGAGCCCAATCGGTGCCAGAAATTGATACATGAGACCGGTTGCGACCAATATGAAATTTGAACAATATTAATGAGTAATTAAAATTTTAATTGCAAGTAATTAAATGAACATTAATGTAAAAATAAATGTGGCTGTTGGTGTAACAAAAAGTTGTCAGCATATTGTTTACGTATTGCAAATTTTAGTAGAATCGGGAGCTGGGCGTTTGAGATTAGCCATGTACAATAACGAGTTCGTGATTTTTGAGTATAATTCACGACGTCTCAATACGAATGAATTGGTATTTTTCACGTTTAGAAGATCGTTTCTGTGAATATGTAATCGAACGTATCGTGTAAATGTGTCAAACCTTTGCTTCCGGAAACACATCCATCAATTCCTCCCAAAAGTAATACACTGGACTGGCAACAACTGCATCGAAATCTTCGTACATTGATTTAAATTCCTCCGAACTCCAGCCTTCGATGGCGAATTTATTATAATTTGAGTTGAAGTGAATAAACGCGTCTTGAAAATCGCATACCGTATAACCAAGTTCTTCTAGTGCAGAATGCATAGACTTTGTTCCGGATTTGTACATTCCTGCACATATTACTTTCATTTTCGTATTTTCCTGTTTTCACTATTATGTGGACGAATAAAAATTTACAAAGCCCTGCTATCTCCTACCTACACCCATGCAAAACGATAACATGCTCTTTCACGTTCGAACTACTTCGTATTGAATAAAGGAATGTACAATGTTTACAAAGCAGTATACTGAAGTATGCACTGTAGCAAATACATAACGATACTTCCTGTGGCTTTCAATGTTGACAAAGCTTTATACTAATGTTTGCACTGTAGCAAATGCATAACGATAGTTACGGTGACTTTTAATGCTTTTAACCACTTATTGCTATTAGCTCATGTCATTTGCCCAAAACTAAGTCTACGCCCGATTTCTTTTTTATATATATAATATATTCATTCATGCAACATTGATTGCGATTGATTTATGGTTCTTGGTAGTTTTGGTTCCATCACGTAAATTTTTATTAGGGTTTGAGTGTAATTAATTATCTGGAACAATTCAATTCGATTGAGCAACTTTACAATATATAAACATTTGGCATCATAGCCATTGTATGCCTCTTTAACCTCTGTATGAGTAAGTCGTCGGTCAAAATACGTCCTAATAGTTCTGAAATAAGGACAGGCAGCTGGACAGGCTTGATTAAAATATGTTACTTTCTTCGTGAGATAAATTACAGTGCATTTGTTAAATAGTTTTAGCGACTGCCTTTAATAATCAAATATACTCGTTCATATAGTTAATGTCAGATGATATTTATGACGGCATTATTAATTTCTCACTTATGTTGCTTAATGTCACTGTTGAAACCTCTACTTGCTGTACAGGCAGACAATTAGATTAGAGAACATTATGACTAAATTTACGCCCACACAAGATTCTAAAGTTGGATTAATAATCAGATTTAGTAAAATTAACAACAAATGGTCATACTGGCATTCAATTCGAGCATAGTTGCTTTATGAATCATACCTAATAAAGTGTAGGCTACGTCAGTAAAAGCAATGAACTAAATTTGTTGTTCCAAACCAGGAGAGGGCAACCTTTTTCAATTCGCGTGCCAAAATCGATTAAATTCAATAACAAAATTCTTCCACGTGCCAACCGAAATTTGTGAGAACATACTATTGTTCTTTTTAAAATTACAGGATAAGCGCCTTGAAGAGATGAAAAAGATTCCTCCGAAAACACAATATAACAAAAATTGAAATTATTCAACTTAAAAACACTGCTTTTGGGAATTCAGAAAAAAAAACTTGCAAAACAATTTGAAACAGGTATTTAGTCACGTTTATATCATAAAAAATATGATACCGAAAAAAAGATTTCAATACCTTTCTCATTCTATATCAGTGTGACTTCTGCTACTGCAGTACCGATGTCAGAGATTTCACACCGGGTTTATATTCTGCAACCTAAAGAGAAATACACGAACTACTTTTCCCATCAGTCAAGCTACGCCTATTGCGAGACCTAATAGAGTTTTCAGGGATGGCATTCCAAGCCCGCAATAGTTCGTTTTCTACACCTTCCTCTTGTATTCTTGTTAATTTTATATCTGTGAAGAAGCATTAACGGTATTAATAACATTTAGCAACGGTAATGTCGAAATATGGTAGTGAATCAAATATAACATTATCTAAAAACCAGGGTGCATGGCAGCAGCCACGGTTTTCTAAACTTAACTAAGTTTAACTTTTCTAAACTGAAAAAAACGTATTTTTCAGCGGATAACGAGATTTCTGTTGCGTAAAATATTGAATCCATGGCCAACCTGAGAATTTGAAATGTCTTGTCATATCAATTTAATTATGTTAAAGTTGACTAAAATACTACGGCAATCTGAGGACATGAAATACGTGATAAACCGTCTACTAGCGATGAATAGATTGAAATAGTATTTTTTGAGTTGCTCTTTCAACACTTAAGATTGTCATCAATTCTAACTAACCGAACCAAAATGCTTGGGTAATTCTGCGTAAGTGTTAACACTCCCATTTGCGAACTTAGTTGATTTTAGTTGATATCCTCAATTAGAATCGCATGGTTTTTTCTAGAAACTCTATACGGGCAGATACCGTTGAAATTTTTTGACGAATCAGTCGACGCACACTACGATGAACCCCATCAGTAATTATATTCACGGCACTCTTAGAGATTCTTTCATTGGGCAGTGATAGGGATGCATTAGACCTATCTTGAGGCTATGTCCCACAATAAAACGGCCTACAATAGACTTATGCATAAACTCATATGGCGTAATTGCACCGCCAAGTTTTGAAATGAGCTAAAACATCAGCTTTGGAAAGAGTGATCCTGATTTATAATTTCAATTTCCCACTTTTGAGGATTGAGGCCATTACTACTGATACCAACTTTGCAACTCGTGTTGCATAGTTTTACATTTGTTTGTTTTAAAGTAAACCTTTTAATTAGATAAATCGACTCTTCGTTTGTATGAAACAGTATGAATAAGTACAAAATGGAGAGCAGGCGTGAAGATAAATAAAACAGATTATTATCTGATCCGAATTTAGATTAAGTTTTAATTTCATCATATCCTTCTTCAAAACACTCCAATAACTTAATGATCAAGTTTCGAACATTGGCTAAATGTACATTCTACATGCGTAATACACAACACAGTATTGAAGAACTACAGTATTACAGAATATATAAATTACGATTTCTTGTATTATTTTTGCACAATAGGAGTTTTACATGTTGTCTAACACTCTTTTTTCTGAAATAATTTTGCCAATGTTATTCTTCTGTGACGTTGTAAGAAGGTCAAAAATTTGTCAAAATTACACCCATTCTATGCCATACTTTGTTAGTCGCAAGGAAATTGCCAATGAATAAGGTTAATTGTCGTGATTTACATTGAATTTCTGGGAATACCTAAAAAGTGCAACTTACGTTCTTGGCTGGAATTAGTGGCAGGTTTTGGGGTGTTTGCAGGACCAATACTCAACTGAGGCACACTAATATATATATTAAGTACAAGAAGACATGATCACAATTGAAAATCCTTGCTGCTAATTAACATTCGAGGCGTAGATTTAAATGTAAGCGCGCAAATTACCCACTGTTTGAGAACAACTGATCTAAATCGAGGATATTGACACTGAGTAGGCCCACCACATTCATTCGAACAACAAATCAATGCTTCAGTGCAGACTATATTCGACTTAAATTCATTTTTGCAGGAATAGCATAGAAGTTTTTCTGAAAATTTAACTTAGAAGATAGTTTCAGATTTCGAGTCCAAATACAGTAGAATAACGGCGGGTGATGTATTCAAAATGTTAGAAATTATTGGTTTAGGTAACCATAAAGAATCAAAAGAAACAGACGGAGAAGAGTCTGGAAAAGAAGTTGCTATGATTTATAAGGAAATTTTGGATGTTCCGGGATAGGAGAAACAAAAGAACTTAGATAACTGAAGGGCCCTACTCGGCCGACGACAACTTGATTGAAACAGGCGACAATCAGAGAGGGTGGGACCCTCGATTACTGGGATAGCGCATCTGGGAAGTCAGGCAATTCAATGGACTTCTATATAGGATGATGTCCCTTTTGTCGCTGTATTTTCCATTAGAACAACTGCTGCACATTGGATAACAATAGTTTTACACGCGAAAGGCGGTGTACATTTAATTAAGTTCTATACAGCGAATTTAATTAGCGCTCCTCGTTTGCGACACTCCGCCATGGTGACCGTACATTTGAACCCATTCGTATATCCACGGGTTCAATCTATATGCGGGTGCTAAAACCCATGGGTTAGGGTTAGTATGGGTTTAACTATCCGTGAAACAAAAATAAGTCCATAGGTGCAATAGCATACAGGTGCAATTGTCATGGGTTCAAATGTACGTGGGTTCAAATGTAATGGAACCCTCCGCCATAGGCAAAGAAAGGAGGTGTTTGTACACGTATAATTATGGGAGAGGAAGGGAGGTTTTAGCCGTGATGATATCCATTTCCACGTTAAACTCGACAACAAGGAGAACATCTTTTCATTTATGTACATTGTGTACCTTTGAAATCAACTCGCACTGTACGAGTAAATTTGAATCGAGTGTGAAAATGCGGTTACACCACTAAACCACTGTCATACCTAATCGGGACAATAAAATATGTAAACAAACAAGCACAGTGCAACGAGAATCAATATCTAATCTATCTGATCTAAACTATACAACACTTACTAATGAATCTCACAAATAAATAAAAATGGACAATGTTGTCAATGTCATTGAGCTTTTTGTAAAGCAGTGTTTCCCAATCTATGGGTCGTCAGAAATTGTTCTTAGGTCGCCTTTTTTCGACAAAAAGCAAAAAGTTACTCATTTTTTGTATGTAATGAATTTTATGGATTACTTTATCTTTGATAAAGTGTTGCTCAATAGATATTGTATATGTGAGAAGTGTATCACTGCATAGAAACATGGCAGCATTCATTTTGTTAAAGTAAAGTCAGGCCACAATTTCAAAATCAAGCTCAGTTTTCCAACTTTGAGGTAATTTTTTTGGTAATAAATGTTATGTAAAAATGATTCTTTTATATAAGTTAGTCATTTAATTTTGGGGCCATATAAGTAATACATTCCGTTCAGTATTTGAGATTTGAGAATATCCATGGGTCGCAAGATTTTCCATTTTTTTTTTAAATTTGGGTTCACACTCTATTACGTTCAGCATATTAAACACATCATTTATTTAATTTTCAATAAATAAACTCCAAAGCATAGAGATACTGCAAGAAGTATTGATGCATTGATTAACATTTCCCTTTGGGATTGCTTCATTGTTGGCATCTCCCAGAGCATATTTGCAAATTCACCTTTCTTGTTTATCCACGGAAATTTTTTGTCTGGTAAAGGTTTACCAAGAAATTCACACAAAGGTCCCCATCCAAATTTGCAATTGTATACCAGGAGGCGATCTTTTGGACAAGCCTACAATGAAAAGAAAATAAGGATCAATTAGTGGACTAAATAAAATTTTGTTAACAAATTCATTTAAAAATACTTTGGTATTTTGTATAGTTTCATTCACTTTTGTGAATTTGCATATTTCTAGTAAATAAATAAAAAATTGTCAAGGAGATAATTCATATTAAAATTGTAAAATTCACATGCTCTTGTAGAATAGGAAACGTCAAAATCAGTAATTTTACTAACGTGTGTGACGTGAGCAATGTGTTTTCTGTAAACCAGCTTGAAAGGAAGTTCCGGAGAGTTGATCATGGTAAAATTGATAGTTCTTGTAGTGCCAGGGCCAATAGAAAGACTACCTAAGAATACAAATATAAGTATTAAATAAAGCTTTTTTCTTTAGCGCAAAATAAAATCAAAACTTTGAATAAGATTTGACTAGTTGTGCTAAGCAATCAGCGTCACAGAATTACAAATGGCATGAATGTTCCAAATCAGAATACTTCTAGACCAGATAAAAATTTCCAGTCATCAAGCCACAACGGCAGAAACCTTTTCTGTTGTTGACATAAGGTTGTATAGTTTGGTTTAAAACAATTGAAATACTCTTAGTCTATAACAGCGTGTTTGCAATCTTGGGAATAATTCATCAAATTTATAGAAGCAGGTTATACCCTGTACTTGGAATATCAAACTGGAATGATTATTCTAAGTGATTCAAGAGTCTTGCTGCACACTAACACAAATATATTTACAGAAATATATTTGTCTTAGTGAGCAGGAAGACTCTTGAATCACTTAGGATAGTTATCTTTACTCTTGCTACAGCATCCTTGCATTATATGCATACGGATCCGCCGGCACAAAAGCATAGAGGAAGGATAAGCAGTTAGTCTCGCAGAAACCAAATCCTTAGCACATGAATGATTATTGTTGCCATTTCATAGTGTTCAAAGCAAATGACGACACACACACACGAATTTAGAAAGTGTTTTTCAACTATTCTTTCAATAAGATCCCACTGTAACAAATAACAATACGCTTAAGTTAAAAATCGCCAAATCAATATCAACCGTCTCCCAACAGCGTAAGTTAAATACATTCTTTACGTTGCAAGATGTTGACTTCATTTCACAAAAACCTCTGTCGATCAACTAATGCAAAAATGTTTTATCATCTCACATGGACCATTCCAGAAAGATGCAAATTTTCTCCATGTTGGCGAAAGAAATGGGTAATAGTAACGATGTAATCCTTTAAAACTATCCATCTGTTTCTTTGCACTTTTGTACCAGGTTTCATCATTTTCTCTCACCATCAATATAACCTAAGGAAGAATAAAATAAGTCAAAATAAAGTCGCTGTTTCCACTGTATGTTTTGTAAATGTATCGAACCTTTGCTTCCGGAAATGCTTCCATCAACTCTTCCCAGAAGTAATACACTGGACTGGCAACAACTGAATCAAAATCTTTGTACATTGATTTAAATTCTTCCGAACTCCATCCTTTGATGGCGAATTTATTATAATTTGTGTTAAAGTGAAAAAACGCGTCAGGAAAATCGCATACTGTATAACCAAGTTCTTCTAGTGCAGAATGCATAGACTTTGTTCCGGATTTGGACATTCCTGCACATATTACTTTCATTTTCGTATTTTTCTGTTTTTAACGATAATGTGGAACGAATAAAAACTTACAAAGTCCTTCTATCTCCTGTCGTAGCTGACCTATGGAAACGATTACACGCTCATTCATTCGACCTAGTTCGTATTGATTCAAGGAATGTTGACAAAGCAAAATACAAATGTTTACACTGTAGCGAGTATATAACCACAGTTATTGTGGCTTTCAATGCTTTTAATCACCCACTGCCAATAGCTCATAGTTTTAGCGACTACCTTCAATAATATAATCGTTTATAGAAATAGTGTAAGATTATATTCATAATGTCATATTAATGCTTCACTTCCCTATGTTATATACATTATATACTCAAGCATCATAAACAGTTGGTTGTTTAATCCCCAAAAAGTAATCCTGAAAAATTAGCATCTTGTAACTCTGCAAATATATACACTACAAGTTTGTTTGAGCATATTCGATTGAATCGTGACCTTATGCCAGGGTGTGCAGTCCGATATGACCATTTGGCTACCGCGTGAATGCCATACATGACGTGACCTGTCGGAAGCACTCAAAGTATAATGAGTAGGGATGGGAATGGTTAACCGATTTCAGATGGTTAACGGTTATGATTTATTTTAACCGTTAACTGACATCTCAGGTACAAATCATCTTTATACCGTACAATTTCGTCAAATATGATTACGTCATCTCAAATTTATCTCTTGCGGCGTTTAATTCAATTAATTCAAAAAAATATTACTCAATAAATGTAAAAAATATTGGAAGTACCAAGGTTGCTGATAATACAAATATACGATGATAAATTCGGAATCAGTTTTTGGTCGATTTCGAAATATATTGTTCACGATTTCATTGCAAAATCGGATATTCAATGTCATACAACAAGTGTGCAGTTGATGCCGTTTTCTCTATGAAATATATCTCGAAGTAGAATTTGCACATCAAACACTGAAAAGTTGTCACATAAATGACGTTTAACAACGGAATCGGGTTTTCTTAAATATTTCCACATGCCCGAACCACGCTGCCTATCTTTTGCAGCAGAGGAATCATGAAACTATCTCAATTCGTAAATAATTTTGAGCGATACCGGGATAAGAACACGCGAAATTGCCCTATAACCATTGTGACGTAACAAGCTAAAATTATGATTATTACGTCAAAAGCCACGCGGCGGTTAACCGGTTAATTTTACCCGGTTAACGGTTAAAGTGTTTTCCCTGAAATTCCCAGCCCTAATAATGAGTTATGTTTGCGCATCGCTTCTGCCACTGGCAAGGTGGTAGAGTTCGACGCATTTGTGGTTGGTTTCCTCGGTAGTTATGCCCTTTTGGAACCACACTGCTTTTGACGTTGGGTGTAATCAATCGGGCCGCTACAGCGGTCTCACATAACTATGTCAGGAGCTCCATTCGGGGTTACATCGTATGTGGAGGGCCTGATGCGGACTTTCTGACAGTACGGGATAATTTGAATTCGCTCATTTTTCTGACACTACGTACTTTTCTAACTGCAACGTTCCTTCTTTGTATGCACGTGAGTTGTGACTGTGAGATTGCGTAATTGTTTCGTAATTAAATTATTTTTAAACACCCGGTTGATTCCCGCTAGTATGTCCGACCCGAAATTCATCAGATGATAGCGAATTTCATATATATATATATATATATATATATAAAATTATTGTCCGAATGAACAAACATATCTTGAAAGTCACATATTGTATACTTTTCGTAGGTTATATATTTCGTAGGTCTAAAATTCTATTCATACATAATCCTTCATGTATGTTTTGTTGTATAGGCACAACTAGTAAAGCGAAATCAATCTTCAGTTTTCTCTTTGCATTGAATTCTGTCTCTTGAATTCTGACTGTACTGTAGTGTTGTTTACACGACCATAGGATTTTATTACAGATTTACTATGTTACGTAACTTATTTTTTATTTATTGCAATTATAATATTACGTGAAATATTTCACACCAACCATGACAGTACATTTGCACCCCTAACCTGCATCCAGGACATTTGCTTCTGCACACTTTTGCACTCACCGAAATATTTTATAGCACCCGCATATAGATTGCATCCGCGGACATTTACACCCATAACTATTTATACCCACAAACATTTGCACACGTGGACATTTGCAACCACGTACATTGGCACCCATGTACAGTTGTACCCTATAGATGTACATTTGCATTCACATACATTTTCACTAGTGGAAATATGCTTCTACGTAGATTTGTTCTCATTCACATTTGCATCCACGGACATTTGCATCCATGACATTTTCACGTATATGCATTTGCCCTGAGAACATCTTTACAAATGTATATTTGTACCTGCATACTTGAACCCACAGTCATGTTCGCTCGCGAATAACTGTGTTTCCGACACGCTTTAATTTGAAGCAGGGGTTCCCAAACCAGGGGTCGCGACCCCAAATTTAGTCGGAGGTATAAAAATAGGTAGGATCGCAAACAGGTCACGGGTTCGGTGGAGTCGCTGAGAGGATGGTAGAGGATGGATGTACAAAACATTTGAGATTTGACACACCATGTTAAATTTAGCAGTTTGTACCATGGCTTACTGTAAAACAGGCCCAAGGCATCGCTCTATGCTTATGCTATGAATGTAGGTGCTTATTGTGACATCACTGTATGGTTTTAGCTTATTTTACTTGGTTGATACCACCACATGACCAAACTCAAAAGTCCAGTGAAAGAAACTCTAAAGTTTCATGAAAAATATATATATTGGCCTGGGGTCGCACTGGACACTTACAAGTTGTCTTTGGGGTCGTCCTGAAAAAAGATTGGGAACCCTTGATTTAAAGTATAATTAAATATATATATAAATTGTAAATGAAGACAGATCAAAAATTATTTATAGTTTGGGTTGCTACAGTCTTTGAGAAATATAATCTTTTCCCACGTTTTTCTGTCATTTTTTTTTTCAACGAATAACGCAACGGGGTTCGAATTTACTTTGATGTCTCATTAATAGATAGATTTAAATTCTAACCAATATATAATTCACAACGTCATCGTTAAACAAGAGAGACGTGCTTCGAGAAATAATAATAGATAAAGGAAAAACAGAGAGCGAAGCACGACCTAGGCATGGCGAAAGCAGAATTTATACGGAGCAAGTTGTTAACGATTATATTTTTTCTGGGATATTGTACATGGTTGATTTTTACTGGCTGGAAAAAATAAACTTGACTTGACTAATAGCTACTTTTAGCCGAGTTCATCGCAGCGTTTACGAGACTAGTTTTCCATTACTGCAACTAAACTAAAGCTCCCCGTAAAACATAATGACATTTCCAACTAATTTTAGGAAACACAACTGAAAAACAAGAGAGCAATGCTCAAATATATGGACACGCAGAACAATTCCCCAAAAATCATATGCGGTGACCAACGACTAACATACCGGCGGTGACTTACCAGTACCTGTATCGGGGTACCGTGACGGTACAGGGACTGTCATAGATATTTTAGGTCCTGTGACAATTGAAACATCAGTTGAAATATCTCGTGATATGAGTCAATTATGTACCGTATTATCGGATCAGGTACCGAACCACAGTCAAACATTTCACATAAAAACGTTACTAAATAACATGCGTCAACTTAACACCAGCCGAATCGGGGTACAATTTTTGGTACAGTGACTGTCATAGCCGTTTAGGGCTGATGGACAATTCGACTACACGGACAACTCACCAGGCCTAGGGTGGTGTAGCCAGTCTGCGGACAATTTCATTCAAACCGCTATAAAACAAAAACCAATATATCTAACCCGTTAATTTTTTTACCGTGGGTGCATTGGCGGCATTTATTCTACACGCTAAACCTCGTATTAACTTTCTACGACAAAGAGTTGAAGCTATACAAATCCCCAAAGTACGGCACTCGAAAGACGTATTTGCGACCGACCAGTGTGCGACCACGGATTTCAAGCCTTGATCCCCGTTTATGCTGCGTCGAGACTATCGCATACGCAGCCATACAGCAATCAAACAGACAAAACACGGTGGTCGCAAATTGGTTGACAATTGTTGGTCTTGTGACAGCGTGAAAACATTGGGCTTCTAATTGCATTTCTGACCGTCATATATTTCAAGAACACGGTTATTTCGAACAAAACTCGTTAAATTATAAACAAAGCACCACATCACAGCAATCAAACAGACGAAAACACGGTGGCCGCAAATTGGTTGACAAAGATATTATCGACGTATCGGAAATGCACACCCCCTATTCCCCCTCCTTCAAATGTAGAAACGCGAAACTTTCAAATATGCTTAAAAGAAACACAACTCTACCCATCTGCCAAGTTTCATATTTTTATTTCTCATATTTGTATGGATTTTCAAGCTTTTGACAGCTACGAGTTAGTTCAGTGTCACCGCGCTGTGTTACGGTACCAGAACTTCTCTATCTTTAGAAGGTCCTGTCTTGTGACAGCGTGAATTGAAATTGCAAGATGGTCCGTTGGACACAAAATGGCGTCCGATAACCTCAGAACGTTTAGTGACGTCATAGCAAACAAAAACAAATCTTACAGAGCTAACAGAAATATTTGAAATAAATAAAAGTAATAGCCTTCTGGAGAAAAATTTCATCTTCAACCACTGAAAATTTCAAAGCAATTAGTCCAGTAATCAAAGAGAAAAGCGACTTTTTAAAAACGTGTCAAAGAACAAGAACAAGAACAACAACAACAACATAATATTGAAACGATAGTTATGTCCACTACGTGTCCAATAACACGCATAACTTAATATAAACGAAGCTATGTCCATAACCATGCTTGAATATTATGTCTGAGCAACAGAATTGTCTGAACTTGCATTGCGATTGTTACATAATTGGACACGTAGTGGACATAACGATCGTTTCAATATTATGTTGTTGTTGTTCTTGTTATCCTTGTTGTTGTTCTTGTTCTTTGACACGTTTTTAAAAAGTCGCTTTTCTCTTCGAATACTGGACCAATTGCTTTGAAATTTTCAGTGGTTGAAGATAAAATTTTTCTCCAGAAGGCTATTACTTTTTTTTTCGCTATGACGTCATCAAAATTATTGCCATTGGGTGGCGCTACGTGTCCATATATTTGAGCATAGCTCTCTTGTTTTAATTTATGATTCAATGAAATTTACATGCTAGCTTAGTTCAGAGCTTTTACTTGCATATGGTACCCCAGCACCTATTACTGTTTTCACTGGTGCGTTTTTTAATTAATATTTTTCGTGTGGTGGCGCTACAGGGCATTGCATTTCTATGGGAACAAACAAACTTTTTTCACTTCCGTGTTTAGGCCTACTTTTGTAGGTTATGTGTCAGTCAGTCAGTCCACTAAATTTAGGGGTGACAAGATGAAGGTGTCCCGTTGGCGTTAAACGTTTAAACTAAACTTCACTCTTATAGCGTGTTTAAGAATAATGACCCAAATTTTTATCACTGTGCACCTGGAAAATGATTGTATAGTATTAGTTAGACTATTTATTACCCTTTTTTAGATCGTAGTGAACACCGTATTGCGTTGCCATGAGGTCCATTGCCATCGTTGGTGCCGGCGTTATAGGTCTATCGACTGCACAAGTTATTTTGGAAGATTTTCCAGACATACATGTAAGCAGGATATTTTGTAATGTTAACTCCGGTACTGGTGTGCTTGTTGTTTAGAAGTTGAGCATGATTTAGCCAGCTTGTTTTGCATTCCAGCATTTTGTGCGTGAATTCTCAAAATTAGTGCACTAATGCATTTGGAGTGAGATTTTTTATTGCCATAGAATTACTGGTAATGTTAAATGCGTGTACCACCCAACGGCAGTGAGGAGTTCAGCAATCCTCTTGCACATAAATATCCTGCGAATGCGAACCACGCATTCTTCTCAGAGGTATGGTGACGAGTGTATTTTTACCGCTTAGCATGATGCACCACACTGCCAAGCAGACTAGAGGAAAACAGAAATTGATTTAACAAGTGCATATGTCTGTATACTAAATGGTTGGATTTTGACATGAATTGGTGGAGGGGTGTATCATTTTTTCCCTATTCGATCCAATTTTAATACAGTAATATGCATATGCAAAGATGTTATGTGATTAGTGCGTTACATTGTTCTCTGAACTCAGGAACCTCTCATTGTTGATATAAAAAAAAAAATTCTCTGCTAGGGCAAGTTAGAGATTTATGTGTCTGGACTATATGCATTTCCTTCTTATACTTTGATTTGATGAATTTGCAGGTTACAATTTATTCGAGTGAATTTAGTCCCAACACTACTGGAGACATATCTGCGGGTTTTGTAAAACCATTTTTCCTTGGGGCAAATGTTGAAGAAAAAGATGTTATTCGTTGGACAAAAACAACCATGGATCATTTATTTACTATTGCAAAAGAAGACAGTGAGCTCTCAACGGGTAAGATATTTTGACGTTCACTGTCCGATTATATAAGTCAACATAGAGATGCCAAAAATGGGATCAAATCATATCACTTATACTTGAATTTTTCAACAATCCTTGTATTATGTACAAACACTTCAAAGGCTTTGTTAATTGACCCAAGATTACAAAGCAATATAACCAAACAAAAACTTTGATTTAACTAGAATATTTGACCTTGATTCTGCCAAACACTTATACTACTCGGAATTAGATCCTGTAGTCTATGATTATATTCTGCCTGAACATTTATTCTATACTTTTAAGTGAGTTATTCTGAATCTATGAGTTGTGTATTACATTTTTAACATGTCTTGATTTATAATGGCCTTTTTCTGTCATGTAAAGTATTTAAGCCAATACCCCTAACGCAATGTAGGGGTAAACTGTACTTAAAACTAAATTTGAATATAGTTATCTGGCAATTAGGAAGAGTAATAAAAAATCTAGATGCAGTTTGAATTCTTCCACTCAAATCATGCACTATCTTCCCTTTTCAGGACTGCCATGCTTGAGATTTCTCGTGCCAGTAAATCTTTTTCTATTTAGGGGTTTCTCTTTTGTCCGGATATTCTTTCTTCAAAGATAGTCCTCCATTTATATCAAACATTATAAAAGAATGCTTCATCCAACCTCGGCTGGTGTCACAAGAGGAAATAAAGAATTTGGTGCATGGAAAATATTTGGGTGCGCTGTTCGCTTCCACGTTGACATGTGCCTGTGATGTATATCTTCCCTATATAATGAAGAAATTAAAATCAAAAAGGTAGGCTGGAATATTCTTCAATTCAGTGGGCCCTGAATACTTGATAATACTTGATTACCTTTCATGTTTAACACAACTGGTTCGTTATTACCAGCATCAAGTGGACTAGACACTCTTAATAAACAATTGATACGAGAATATCGGTCGGAGACCGAAGACTTATCGATCGGAGGTTAGGGGATCCCCCAAAACAGCGCTCTTACTCCATAGTGACACCGTGTGTCCCATCACTAATTAATTAATATATCGCTAATTATACGACATAATTCATCGAAAATCTATAGGCTTCTGTTCCAAACTATGATGAATGCACATGCAAAATTTGGAGCAGATTCAACCTCGCTTTCGTGAGATATCGCGTGCATCTAACAGACAAACAAACAGACAAATACCTATCAACATACTTACCGATCTTAAGATCGATAAGTAAAAAGGCTGTATAGGCAAAATCCCTAGTCAACGGAAATTGTTTTCCCTGAGCTGAAATCAGAGTCAAAGTTATTTTCAACCTTGAGTTAGGAACCGGATTTGAAACATAACCAAACCCAAAACCCTTTCATATTCTATATCGTTGCAGCGGCACTTTTGTTGTTGGTTTTCCATATTTGGTTTAGATGTGAGTCATTAGAATAATATATAAATGCATTTATTCCAGGCGTCAAATTTGTGCAAGAAAAAATATTCTCATTGAATACATTAGCCGAACGAGGTCATGACATTGTTGTCAACTGCTGTGGATTTGGGGCTCAAGAATTGACTGGAGACCAATCACTACAACCAGTACGAGGCCAGGTACTATGATTGTATACGTATATATTTGCTTTAAATTCCCTTTAATTGTGCTATAGCAGTGGTTCTCAAACCTTTTAAGCCGCGCCCTCTTTTTAGAATTTTTCAAGTCTCGCGCCCCACCTCAAAAATAAGTCTTAAGATTCAAGATAGTAAACATGTTGACGATTGATGGTATAGAGGGTTTTAGAATCTGTGAACTAACAGCATGAAGTTGAACTCTCAAACATGCTCCACAGTAAGGATAATAAAGATACAAGCACAGCAGCTCTCTGCAATCTCTAAACAATAAAAAAATATAAATATTCAAAATAAGGCCGGCAAGATCAAATCTAATAAATATTCAAAATAAGGCCGGCAAGATCAAATCTAACAAATATTTTTATTTTTAATTAGCTTGACGCCCCCTCAAATAATTTTCTACGCCCCCCTTGTGGGGCGCGCCTCACCGTTCGAGAACCACTGTGCTATAGGATCTCATACGAGTTATGATCATTAGTTGTGACGGACTTTAATGACCTTTGGTCATATGTTCATTCCCAGTCTCTACCAATATAATGCAGTATAATTTATTATTCCAATATGTATTTATTTGTATTGGGGTTGACAAAAATAATAAACTCTTTCTCACTCTGATGAATTTGAATTTGAACAATCAAACTACGGCCCGCGGTCCAAATCCAGCCCGTTGGGTGATTCAATCTAGTCGCCTGATGCTGCTATAAATTTCAACCATTTCTGCATGCAATACATAGTTGTTGTTATTGGGATCTGTATGGTGCAATAGGCTTGTTAGATTGTGATCGCAGTTTGTGTAAGTTGTATTTTTGTTTACCACAGACTTTCATGTTATGGGGACGTTAACAAAACTTTACGTTTTCTCGCTCACTCGATTGGACGGCGTGCTTTTCACACCCCTTTCTTTTCGCCTCTTGTGCTTGTCGTGTGCGTTCACGCGCAGGCTCGAGTTTCAATTTAAAGCCGACAAAGTTTTGTTAACGTCCCCATAACGCTATCTTAACGTTCTTTTTTGTTCATAGCTTACGCATTCTTGCATGTGATTTAGTCTACCGTTTCCCGTTGCTTTCTAATAATCCATTGCTGCATCCCTTTTCTGCACCCTAATTCCTGAAGATTTATAGCTGAATCATTAAAGACTACATTTTATCCACATTTGTGAGTGAACAGACCTTCAGTGTGATGAATTTCAATTAATTAACCGATACTCATCTCAAATCTGATTTGACATTCGCCTTAACCAAACTAAAACCAAGTTTTGATGTTTTAGCTAAAAAAAAAAGCTCAAGGAAGTTGTTGAGATTGCAATTAAATTTGGTTTAGACACGAGGCTTATTATTTTCCACTTTTGTTTTTGTAACACTGTAGATAAAATTCTGTGCATAGAATGTACCTTGTCCATCACACTTACAAAATATTGGCCCAAAAACCGTACCAACCACTGCTCTAGATCTAGACAATTCCCTAAGCCAAGAAACTCGTTAATGTATTGTGCGTGACTCTCATTACGAAAGGCTGTATTTAACTGGAGAATACTTTTGGGAAACTCATTTCTGCTTCATTTGGCTTTTCCATTCGTTAACGTTTTAGTTTAGTTTATTAACTTCATCTTGGAAATCTTGTTTGATAAAAAAAATTTTAAACTGCATAATGTTTAAATACGGAAATTACAGTGCCCATGTTCGGTCTTCTGATGACCTACCCCATATTCAATTCACACATCGCGCACTAGCGGTATGAACGGACCATACTTGACATGGCATTTCCAATTTATGGTTCTGATTTCGTGGGTTCACCAATTCGAATCCCGTTGCCGATAATTACTTGCGAGGGTATTGCTCGGGTCGACAGACTGAACGAACATTATTACATATAGATAGCAAACAAACTGTAACACACACGGAAGTAAAGTAAATATTTAGAGAGTGCCAAGTCCACGAGAATCGATTTTGTCAAAAGTTGCATAACGTGATATTCTTTTTAATCATTCCCTTATCCGGTGAAACACGCATGACTCTAAGTTGTACGCCGCGATTCCTGACAAGATCGTAGCCATCCGAAATTTTTTGAAAGTGGGCTAATTTTTTTGTATATTGACGTAAAACGACGCTTACTCGTGTCTTCTGCTCTGAACAAGGCTAGATAAAATCAGTCACTGATATCTAACGATATTTTGAAGAATCTTACGTACTTCGCTGTCGAAGTTACCCAATCTATATAAGTACGCATTTTCATCTATTTTGGTTGGTTCATTTGGAGAAAGGATTATTGATACTGAGTCAGGAAACGTCGGTTTTTCAATAAATCGTTTAAGAATAGAGCAAAATGGCGTTAAAAAAAGATACAAGAATTATTGTCTCAGTGCAAATGCCTCAAATTTAATATGTATTTAAAAAAAATTGAAAATTGGGGAGGTTCCTGGCCTATCTGGCTTCGCCTGTGGTTCCTGAGGCTGAAACTAGAAACAATCGGAGAGAATTTTACCTGGCATGGATGTATTCACAAACCGCATATTTAGTTACGTGCGCACTACTTTATTGCTTCCGCACGATTTTCAGAACTTTATCAGTGTAATTGTTGTGCACTCCTCGTTGACCTGTTTTCACTCGAAAATAGAAAATTAAATAAAATTCTCTAAATCTGTAATATGTTTTTTTTGTATTAAAATAATCACGGTTACCTCAAATAAAGTCTTGAATATATCTAGTTGTAAACCATATTAATTAATGTGCATTTAGTTCCAAAACAATTAATTTCAAGGTAATTGAGGTGTATGCGCCATGGATCAAGCATTTTTTTAATGAAGAAGATGGCGATGTTTATGTATTGCCAAGAATTGATAACGTTATTGTTGGAGGAACCCACACAAAAGGTGGGTAATTCCTAACACTTGATACTTCTTGTTTATGTCCCAAATTTTTTTTATTTTGCCAACAATTATTTAGGCTTAGCAACTCTTTGCTACCACACGGCTGATGCGTGACAGAGGCAGGATCAAAATCACATGGTAAAGAGGCCCGTGTGAGAGCTTGTTTACCTAACTGTTGATCGGTTAAAGCAGCCATGCGCAAACCAAATGTCGTCCCGCAAATTAAGCTTCAGTTTGCCGTGGGCCGCACATTAAATTGTATGTCATATAACATATATTAATGGTATATATTTGTGAAGATGACGAATGTTAGGAATAAATAATGGTTTCAAAAAGTAATAAGATATACACAGCATAGAAGTGTATTTCTCAGGCTATTGCAAAACGTGTTTTTAAAAGTCATTTCCCAACTTTTTTTTTCATTGACTGACATCTTTGATACAGCGCAAGGTAAATAAATGGTTAGCCATATTTTCGTTCCCAAGTCTGAATCTATTCAACATTTTTCACTTTTGAGAAGAAATATTCACACAGATGGCTTGACCCCGTTGCCGCAACATGTATTGTCGTTTGTTAGCAATTATCTATAAATATGCCGGAACCTCTCACTCATCAGAATTTCGAATAAAGTGTGGAATGCTTGTTTCAAATAAATTGACCATTCCAGACATTCCTCGAGCTAGCAATGTGGTTCGGCTGCGTCGGTATGATGTAATATCACTTCACTATTGTACAATAGAAAAGAATCGCTTATGCATAAAATATTGCCGGTTTTACATTAAACAGCGGGTTAAAAATCGACGGCAAAAACTCCCCGTGGGCCGCGGGTAAACGCATGCTCAATAAACAACAAGTCAGTGACTAACTATATATGATTCAGATCTTGATGCCAGACACAGGCTGGTGACTGGATGATCATATGCTTGGTATGTCTTGTTGACTCGGCGGCTCATGAACACTGAGATAGCAGTGGTATTCTACCATAAATAGAGTAATTGTGCTTTCCTTCCTTCCTTCCATGATGTTTCTTTTTGAAAATAATGCTAAAAACGCATTGTGATTGATGTAATGATGCTTTTGGCATGCTTTTAGATTTCATGTCCGAAAATGTGAAAAATGAAATATCAACATAGATCAAATGTATTAAACTATGTTTCCGCTATTTTGAAAGATAGGAAGATGGTTATTTTTTTCATTTTTCGAACATCAATTTTGAATAGGTATAATGTGGAATAGAAATATATTAATTTGATAATTTTGAGTATGAGGTTAAATAGAGATGTATAAAACTGTTGTTATATCATCACTTATTGTTATTCACTAATTCTTCGATTTACCTCCATTTTTGTTCGAATTTTATCCCCTGCTCGAATTATTTTAAGAAGTAACGGCTGGCTAACCCGAATTAAATTTTTAGAAACTTCATTAGAAGTTGATAAGCCAACGAGCAAGATGATATTTGAACGAGCATGTAAAATGATTCCAAGTCTCAAGCATGGCAAAATTGTAGCAGAACGCGTGGGGCTTCGTCCATCAAGGCCAACAATAAGGTATGAAATAATGAATAACTATCATAATTGTTTGTCCTTAGTTTTTCGCAAAATTCATTTCCCTTCATTTTTAAAGAATGGAAGCGGAGACGGCCATTACGAAATCTGGAAAGGAGTATATTGTGCTTCATCACTATGGCCACGGAGGTTCGGGCGTGACAATGCACTGGGGATGTGCAAAGCAGGCTTCTGATGTTCTCCAGAAGTTTTTGTATAAAAAATCATCTAAACTTTAACTCAAATGATATAATTTTTATTTGATTTTGGCGCGCGCGTTTGCAATAATGTATGAATGACTTTTTATCTTCTTGCAATTATTTTTTAATCATCCAGGTGCAATATGCAATATCGTTTTAATATAAGAACATATAATAAAATGTATAATATTTTTCTTGAAATATATAACTATAATTTTAGTTAGACATCAAATATATTTCACCAAGTGAAATTTTTTAAAAATTTGGTACTATACCAAATTAAAACTTTATCTTTATTTAGTATTTTTAAAAATGTTTCGAAACTAAAAATCACTACTTGTGACAGAATGAATTCGTTGTATACGTTGACAATGTTCATTCGGTTGTGCTGAAATCACTCAATCATTATCACTGATCCCAATTGCAGTAATCCAGCGAATTGGCCATTTACAACTCACTTTTCCATCCATATTGACCATAAAGTATTCTTGAACCTAATAAACTGTTCCTTTTCCGACTTTGAATAATGACTGGACAACGAATTGCGATTTGCCGTATGATTAAGTCTACTTTTTTTCTTTGGGGATCTCTAGTATTGGTAATAATTATCATTATATTGGACTTATTTTCATATTTCCGATAAATCTACTCAACGCTTTGATCAACATATCATTTTTTATTTGCTTGTTTTGTGCGACGTAATGCTGTTGTTGATTACTACCATGATTTTCAATTTCTGTAAGTGCCTTGTCATGTAAAAGTTAATTGAGAGATTTGATGACGTCACCGCATAGAAAGTATTCCTGAAGTTCAATGTTTATTTTATTCAAGGTACGGGCGACTATCTGTCTTAAATCATACTTGTTTCTTTATATATGCATATATAATCAGTGCTGTTTTTCTGCCATCGGATTTTGTTTCCAACATGGATGCTATAATTACTTTCGTGATTCCGGAACCACGGCAAGGTTTCCGAAAATATGAAGATGCTTACCGAGCTATGTTATCTGTCATTGCTGTCTATTTCAATTGTATGAAAAGACGTCAATTTTCGATGATACGCGTTTTGACGTTATGCAAAAAGTAAAATACTACCCGCCGGTTCCTACCGTATCTTCATCAAAATATTTCCATGGAGCGAGCACCGTCTCCGCAAAATCAAGACGAAGACAATTAATTGAAAATACAACAATATCCCTCCGTTGATGCACTTTTCGATGTTATCCCGAAATTTGTCACTAACCGCTGGTTGCCCACATACCGTACCTCAACCAAAACATTTCCGTTGAACGAGCACCGACTTCACAAAATCAAACTTGACACAGCAGGCAGGCTCGAAATAATGAAAGCCGTGTTCCAATGAATAAGAATGAAACAGCGGAATTTTGGGCAAAAAAAATCAGATGCCATAGTATTCACAGGAACTTCAGAAATAAGTAAAAAAATAATAAACCTCTAGCGAGAAGAAGAGAGAAAAGCGATCCATAGGTCCATTTCGTGGCCAAGAAGCAATGCTCAAATATATGGACACGAATGCTAAAACGAAGTATTATCATATCTTTTACACTACCGGTAGTCTGACTACCAGCTCACTGAGGTGATGACGTCATTACACAATTATTCGAAATGAAAAAACGAATCTTAGAGGACCCACAGAAATAGCCTTCGTGAAAAGCAATTATCCCCTTAGTTAATAAAAAAGCGATTTCCCTCAACAAAATCATGACAACAAGACCATTCATAGATAGACCTACCATACGTTCCGGTTTGGCCGGGACAATCCCGGTTTAAACGTCTGTCCCGGTGTCCCGTCCCGGAATTTTACTTTAGTGTGGCTAATTTTAGAAAAGTAATGGAATATATATTTTGTCTACTAGGCACTTCGGCTTTTGCTGAAAGAGCTTTTTCTATGATGAAAACTATTTGGTCAGATGAAAGGAGTACGATGAAGAAGTCAACAGTAGAGGGTTTATTGATTTGCAAACTCAATATTGGCTTGAGCTATAGCGAGTTTTACACAAAAATAAGAAATAATAAACAGTTTCTGAAGAAAGTTCATTCAAGTGAAAAATACGAAAGGTCAAACACAAAAGCCAATGGTCCGTTTAAATGTTTGATTTGTGAGTTAGTGTTATTTCATTGTTCTCGGTGTTTATTCTTCCTTTTTTTCTTATAAATGTCTGATTTGGGACCTAGTGTTGCTTAAATTAACATGTATTTTTCTTTTAATGAGGTAATAATTTTTTTCATTTAATCTTAGTAGTATATATACTTTATTATGCAATACTATGGCTTGTATATATAAATATGGAATAAAAATTTGCCAAGCTCACGCCTTCGGCCTTTCATTCATAGTTTTGAGTTTGTCCCGGATTATGCCCAAGAAATTATGGTAAGTCTATTCATAGATCCATTTCGTGTCCAATAAACATGTTATTGGAGTGTTATGTTGCTCAGTAGCTTTGTTTGATGAGTTGGGCGTGAAATATCATCTTGAACATTATAAACTGCATTGAGGCCTGCATTAACAAACATGGAGCCACGGCTGGACTTTCTATGCAGCAAAAAGCAGTCGCACCCACCACACTGAATAATTGAGCGACGTTAATCTGAGTAAATGTGTGTTTGTTTTTGTTATCTTGTAGGCCTACTAAAAGTTAGGAATTAACTGTGTCAAAGAAATATCAAAAATGCATATTTCGAACTGTTTGACAACATTAACGTGAACAGGGCCGCCAACATTTTTAATATATATATATATTTAAAAGAGCAAAAATTAAAATTCAAAAATTTGTGAAGTCCTGAGCTAGACCACCATCTCGGGCTCTTTCATGTAGCTGTCTGTCTTTAGGGATTTGTTCAAAAAGAATTGTTTTAAAATAATTTTTTTAAATCGAGTTGTTTTGCCTGTTTTGTTTAAAATGGCTGTATTATTTGATTTTTTTGTATTAGATAGGTTGAAGAAAAATAGATGTAAAAACTTGCCAAGCGCCTATTATTCGCAATGAATTCTTCAATACGCCACAAATATTGATGAAGGCCCGCCCATACATGCCTTCTCAAGCCGTAGTTCAATGCGTCCGCAAACGTGGTTGGCGAAGGAAGACGCAACCGTTAAGTGAACCACCCTGCGACAAAACCACCTTGCGAAAATTGAAATATGGTCGAATAAATGAGTTTGTATAACTTTGAAAGAACTTTATCACTTTAACCTCAAAAACATAGTATGCTAACATTGCTAAGCATAAATTAACCGAACAGTTTTAACCGTAATAATGACTTTATTTTATTAGAAAAATGTCAATACATAAACTCGAAATCCCTATTATGGCGTAATAACAGATTAGTTGTGGCTTCATTGCATCAGAGGTGTCTTACAATTAGCATAGCCTAGATTAGAGTGTCTCATCGTTTAAATCAGTAGGTTGCCGCCGATCTAGGTATATTCTACATTATGGACCTTTCCCCGACCTTTGACCCCCGTAAATTTCTTCCTACACTTTACCATTGCAAAATTGTCGGGGCTATTTTAAGAGTGCTTTTGCGAGTTGGCGCCTGTAAAATGGGGTATGTGTTTCAAACCATCATTATGATTCATCGCATAGAACAATCTGTTTTTTAAAAGTACCGGTAAAGAATTTTATCCTTATCTATCACAGCTATTTCCACACTAATTTTTTATTACTGCAATTAAATTAAAACTTCTAGGAAGACAGAGTGATCATTGAAATATCTGATTTATATTCAAGTTTCCGAAATACAACTAAAAACTAACGAATAGAGTTCAAAAACGCGAAAACGAGGTAATGTTTACGACCACGCTTCAAAATCTGTCTGAATGAGAAATTTGTCTGAGCGTATGCGAAAAGGGAGCATCAATACGTCATATTTTGCATCTTGCTGATTGGCCAATGTCACGAAGTAAACAAAGGAAGTCGATGCTCGGGGAAAGGTCCATTGTAACGCACATTGTAACGCCGAATGCTGCCTCTGATCCAATTGCTTTTGGATTATAGTAGGCTCATGAGCTAAGTTTCATGAATTTTCTTACTCAAAACGTCTCTCTGGGATCTCGGACAAACATACCTGTTAAAATCCTTGTTTTAAAACAGGATGTTTTTTTTTTAGAATTATTAAAAAACAAAACCCTATCTGCCTTCAATAAAAGTAACAATAGGAATTGAGACAACTGTTCGCGACATTAACTCTTTGAACTCTGACGGCTCAGAGCGAAGTTACTCGCTCACCCTGAAGGTTCGCGGCGCCGTATTGGTAGAACAATAAAATAAGTCTAAATACGGGCTATTTGGCACGCTTATAATTTATTACCAATTATAGGTAGCACGTTGTGTGACATTTCAATCGAAAGGAAATTTTATCGTGCATTCAGGATGTATTTTCCATTTCGAAATACATTTTGTCAAAATTAATAAAATTGACCCTAATCTAACAGTGATTTTTCTGCATGTATGTGAGTTTTGGCTTGAAATTTTGTTACTTTGGTACAAAATATACTGCCAATATTTGATGTTCATAAAGAGTTTTTTATATGCGTTTTGTTGATATTCGAATTACCATTGTGGCTGCCATATAACCAATTTTATATTTAAATATTTAATTGTGTATCATTGTGTCGGGTGAACAACTTCGATAAGCGGCCATGACGCACTGATTACGCAGCTACGCAAAAGCCGATCACGTGACTACCGTCATGAAGATGTTGATAAGTACGTTCGAAACGTATTGCGTGGCAAAATGCACAAGATAACTTTCACGACGACGTTCTCAGCGGGACATCGGTCGCCGAGTTTCGATATTATATTAACCCTGTATGGATTGAAGTGCCGACGTCGAGTAATGCGTGCAGTAATAGCGAAGTGAAGGGAAGTTAATATCGTCATATAAAAATTTCACGTGGAAAATGTTTTATTCGCCCATCAGTATTTGTTCAAATATCAACCAAAATAAGTACTTGCCTGCTCTGCAGATCAAAATATCTGATTGTACGAATGTTAGGCGAAGCAAGTGGAGTGATCAATATCTGAGAGAACTAATAATGCAGAAAGAGCAACCCTTATTCCAACAAGATCATATGCGTCGCCAGAACTAGATACCCTACCGCAAAACGCCAGTTCTAATAATAGATGCGTCGTATGCAGCAAAATTCACATTATTGTCAAAAAAACCAATCCAGCTGCTAAAGACAAAGCGTTGCTGAAACGATGCGAGACAGTATATAAGTACAAATACTGTAATGAGTACCTATGTATAGGTAACGAAATTAACAACCATGGGTATACCTGGCACAACAAAGTGCAATATTGGATTTAGAATGTGTCTTTTATCTGCATAATATTTTCATGTTCTTCATTGTTCCGGGGACAACAAAGTGCAATATTCAATTTAAATTTTTTAGCAAGCAGTCTTTTATGTACATACATTTTTCATGGTCTTTATTGTTCCGTTATTTGCTAATAAAATCACAATCTTGTTCATATTGCGTATACGTAACCACAACTTAATGGGGCTTGAGCGGGCAGTCAAAGTCAAAGCGTAGTGCGAATTTTGAATGCGTAGCATCGGGTTAATTAATTACTTCCTGCGGACATTTAAATAATAACATCTCGGTGTAACGTCATTGCGGATATCGTCACGTTTAGTTGCATTTGCGTAATATACGTAAAGTTGTGCGTGACGATACGTAGCCACTCTTCAATGAGAACATCATTTTGACGCAGCGTCGCTGTTAAATCTACAGATAATCTAATATATTTGGCCATAAAATTTGAATGGCTCATCGTAAAATCGTTTTGGATACGTATATAAAAAGCTATTCAAATTCTCCACATATATTGCCGATTGAATATGTGGCTATTTAGGCAAGAAGTCGAAATTCTTTTTATTAAATATTTGTTATCATACAATAATTTCATACGCACTTTCAAATTGCCAATTTTACTGAAACATCGTATATTAGAGCACCGATATTTACAATATATTTAGTCCCAATAACAAGCTTTCATGCAATCTAAAATTTATTTAAATACTCATTGTGGTTCTTGAGATACGAGATCATAAAGTTGATTCCTTCCGACACGAAAAACAAGCCGGTAAACCGGCTTGCCGGGGCACAGAGCGTACTCAAACAAGCCGGTAAACCGGCTTGCCGGGTTCAAGCGGTTAATACAGGGGCGGTCTAAATGTATTGTGCTGATGCCATATAATGATTTAAGGGCCTGCAACTTGCATAATATTGCTTTGCGTTGTGCTGTTTGCTGCTTTATTCTATTCTATATTTAATCATGTGTATTTACCAATACAAACTGTGTTTCTGAAAGTTCGAGTATTCATATGTTTATATGTTCATAGCAACACTTCTAGGTATCCTGACAATAACCTAACGATACATTGAATGCGCACATTGCTCAGCTAGTGTGGGTGTATCAGACTGGTACTGTACTGTATCAGACAGAAGTAATCAAATCTGTATATAACAGGCGACCAACGAGAAAACATTATATTATTTCATTTTTATATAATTTATGTGAAGATGGTCCAAACGCTGGCCGCATGCGGCCGCAGAACAATTCACTAAGCGTATACGAGCCATCGGCAGATATTTTTATTTATTGGCAGAACATTTTTGAGTTTCTTTAGCTATACCAGCCGGGGTTGGGTTGGCGAGATTTGAACCTTTTTTCTAATTTCGATGCCGGGAACAATGTTTGTTAAAGTCATGAAATTTTAATTTCGTATCTATAAACGTCAAGACGGTGCCGATTTGGGAATAAGGTGGTGTGATCGGTACAAAGAAAGTGAATTGTCTTGTGCAGACAAGACCCAGTCGAAGAGATAAATCGCGCTCTTCATCTTAAGCTCGCGCCAAGCAACACCTTATTTGAAGACACGTTTTGTGCCTTTATTTTAGTAAAAACACTCCACCATTTTCAAGCGCGTGCTATGTCACAGCAGTGACGAAACGCAGAACTGACTCAACGCCGTGCGATCCATTTTTAGATAGGGCACGAAATCCCAACTTAGACGGACCTGGTTGTTCTTTGATGATAGCACTAAGCTTGCTCACGGTGCAAGTTATAAAGAAGAAAGGATACGGAAAATACCACGGTACTTCTCGGGAAGCAATTTAAAAAAAGGCTTTATATATCATCCTAATGAAAGAAACGCCACCCATTTAACATAACATTAGCCTGATTAGAACAGTAAATTCTTTAATATCTATATTTAAAATGAAAAATATCGCGATATTTTGCGGCAGCGGCCCGCGAGACCTCCTCAAAAGGTTTTTGCGGCCCCGCAACCTTGAATAACCCTGATTTATGTACTTTGTTGAATTTTGTCTTTATTTTCTCTTTATTGTAGAGTATACTACGTTAATATTTTTAATGGAGAAAATATGAGCATGGGGTAGGCATTACAATGATTGACATTTTACTTTTAGGGAATTTAAGGATATGATGTCATCTGTTCCAACAGCAGGGGACGGACCAGGTAGGTTTTGGGGTGAGCTGTATGTACGTATGTACTAAATCCCTTTATGTTAGGTGTTTAGAGCTTGAAATGTCATACTAGAAAAATCACCAAAATTCAATTTAAACAGAAGAGCAAAGCTCAAATGTATGGACACGAAATTCTAATAACTAATCATAGTGCCGGTAGCCCATTCATTAAATGAATCATCTCAATATCTGTATCCTGATATTATTGACTTGAATTGAAGTGTTTGTTGTCTCATGTTTAAATATAGTTATTACCTCATTGTTTGCAACAATAATTTCATATTTAGGTATACGCGCAGCAGTCTATCTACTCTTAGATCGCATTAGCTCCGGGCAAAACAGATAATGCACAGCAAAAAATGATGTCAGACATAAAGCGTCGTTAACCAGACCGGAAAATCTCCATTTCCATGCTTCGAATGGACAACGCACTGATTTAAAACTATTCTTACTCTACAAACGCATGACTTCGTATTGCAGATTCTTTGTACTGAAATAAGTTACTTTGAAACAAACAAATTGTATCATACACTCGTGATAGTTGCAAAGCTACATCTTAGCGGTGTAGTTAGCTTTCAACGTTGCCCAGATTTATATTTAGGTCATTCACTTCTGCAAAGCTTTTTAAAAAGGGTATTTCACCTTATTACAATGATATCAAATACTCGTTTATAATTTGTATTCTGATATGCAAAAAAAAAAACTGTGTTTATATTATTATTCATTTATTCCGTAGAATTATTGTATATTTACTGTCGTTTTCAGTGATGTTGCCAAGGATCTAACTCTTCTAAGTAAATTTTATTAAATTAATATGTCACGATCTACATCGAATACTATTGTGAACGCTGTCTGATCTTATCAGTTCGCAGTATCGCCCTGCATCGTGTATATTGTCGACGTCGATGACTTGGCAGCAGTTTCGGTTGTGGATTTTATAAAAGTCATGCGTTTGTAGAGTAAGAATAGTTTTAAATCAGTACGTTGTCAATTCGGAGCATGGAAATGCAGCAGACTTTCCAGTTTGTTCTTATGACATTCGCATGCGTGACAATAATAGATTCGACTCTTACCCAAGCAGTAGATCCTGAGCGTTTCTTCAATGATCATGACTTCGACGAAGACGACCTAGATGTCCCAAATAGGTTACGGAAAGATGAGTCAGGGTACTCAAATCTGCCAAACGTTTTTCTTGCAAAAAACAAAACATCCCTGAAACATGGCACAAAAAATTCATTTGAAGAAGCGTTCGAAGAAGTGAGGTATGTGAAAGATTTAATAATGTTCGTAAGACCAGAGTCAGAATTCAGACTCAGACTAACATTATTCAATATACCTATCCAATATTATTTTTCTGAGGATGTCTAACCTTGATCAGACAAAACGCTACAGAAATATATTTCGTATTAGTAGGCAACAATACTCTTGAATTGAATCACTTGAAATAAAGCTATTGTTCCAATTTCACAGATGGAGTACCAATCCCCCAAGAAAATCTGTAAAAAAACGAGCAAGAAGGAAGCCAAATATAATGCCAAGTGTAGTGAAGAAGATAGTACTAACCAGTAAGGTTTTTAATAACAAAAAATATATTCTCTAACATTAAAGAATCCTGAACTATATTGCCCGGTGGTTTCAAAACTTAGTCCTAACGGTAATTTATTGGAGGTAAACCTCGCATAGGCTACATAGATCACGCTAGTAACCCCACTCACAAATCAAAAGATATGTAAACAATGAAACTCAATTTCAAATCGGCGATATAATAAACATTCCGATAATCTTTCAATATTTCTTAGCCTACGCCATACTGTAAAAGGGTATTTTCTTCAGGAGCACTAAGAAAAAGCTATATTGTAGCTCATAACGAAGCGAGAAAAATTGTTGAACCACCAGCAAGTAACATGAAGAAACTACACTGGGACAAGGAACTTGAAACACTGGCGACTTCTTATTCACAAAAATGCGTGTACGAGCATAGCCCAGTGAGTGCAATTTTTACGTTCTTTTATTTATAGAAAACGTGTACATCGATAAAACATGATCATTGATTTGAAAAAAAAAAGACTTCCATTCATTTTGTCACCTAATCACGTCAGAATCACTAGCGGACAATATTTATTAGCGAAATAAATAGCTTTATATTATATTGATTTAAATAATATTGAATAAATACTGAGACGGAATAAAGTGCATGATTATAGAAAATGTATTACTTTTGGGTATGGTGATTCATTATTACTAATTAAATTAATGTAGTTATATTTTTTGCAATTTGCAAGCAAATGTCACTAATATTTTACAGGGGTTAAGAAGTATTTTGTTTGCATTTTTTTTTTTGTTATAGACAAAACAACACAAGAGATTTCGATGGGTGGGAGAAAATTTATTTATATCATCAGGAATTAAATTTGATGAATATTATGCCGCCCTAGCGGTGAGAGCTTTCGATAGTGAAAAACAATTTTATAATTACACGGAAAACGCTTGTCAAACAGGCGAAGACTGTGGTCATTACGCCCAGGTAATTCTAATTTTTGACATAAACCATGTTTGCTATAAGTAAAACAAATAACACTATAGTTATTATTATGTTTTATTATATCAAAAAAAATCAACTTTATCGTAGCGGAAAATTTTGAACTCATCGAGTTTTTGAATAAACAACTGCAAATAATGTAAATAAATCAAATAACACTATAGTTATTACTATGTTGTATTTTATCAAAAAAATCAACTTTATCCTAGCGGAAAATTTTTACCTCATCGAGTTTTTGAATAAACAATCGCAAATAGTGTATCAAAAAATGAACTTTATCGTAGCGAAAAATTTTGAACTCATCGAGTTTTTAAATAAACAACCGCAAATAATGTAAATAAATTAAATAACACTATAGTTCTTATTATGTTTTATTTTATCAAAAAAATCAACTTTATCGTAGTGGAAAATTTTGAACTCATCAAGTTTTTGAATAAACAACCGCGAATAATGTAAAAATGTTACCAGGTTGTTTGGGCAGACACGTTTAGAGTAGGTTGTGGAGCAACGGAATGTGCTAATGTGGATGTAGATGGGACAATATTGAAAAAGGCTATTCTGTTTGTCTGCAACTACACACCGGGAGGAAATTCTGCGGGCGTGTAAGCTTTGGTTACTTTTGTCAAGCTTTTTCAGTGTCGAAATATTTTGACAACAATGTTGTGTACAATCCCTAAAACTCGATGTAACAAAATAACATTTTCTAAAATGAATGTACATAGGTAATGTTTACGCTTATTCTTTATGTTAATTATGAACTATTAATAGTTCGGCATGTAGAGAACATTGTTCCGAAAAATTGTTGAAAATTATCTGCCACCCAATATGATCAGGAATCACTGATTTAACTAAAGAATAACGTAATATTTTTTGACAATAAAGAATCACTCGTCAGCTCTAGAGAGTCTAGATTGACGAATAATTTTTTATAGAAAACCCTACAAGACGGGCAAGGGGTGTACAGGCTGCCACGAGACAGACAAGTGTGTATCTGATAAACTTTGCTCGAATCAAATGCGCGGAAGAAACTTTAACAATGCATCGAGTACGTATGCAAAAAGTTTCTACTTGTGAATATTCGGTTCCAACTTAACCTATTCTATTTTGTTACATCATAGATATCATTTTTTATCAAACTGAAAATTCTTTATTAAAATTGATATTACATATTGATGTGCTACAATGCAAATATACAGTATTACATCTGTCAACACATTACGATTATACAGTCGTTTTTCAGTCAATAAATATTTATCCATCGTATGCAAAATTTGGGAAAATGATTCATATGTCCATTTTTTTAAATGATTTTTAACTGAACGCGCGATTTGCAAGTGGATCATAGGCTGTCGATCATAATATATTTTTCCGAATCATATATATTTTCTTGATCTAGTTTTCTTCTTTTTATATATTTGTAAAATTAGTTTCACAACAAATCAATCAAATGTATTTCAGTGATAAAATTCACGGAGTGGGGACCTTGGGGCTCCTGCCAATCAACTTGTGGGTTAGGGATGCAATTCAGAACGAGAATATGCAACACTTTCGTGCGTAAAGACTGTAAAGGTCAAATCTCAGATGGCAAAGAATGCAGGGCCGGCCCATGCAAGAAGCAGAATAAAAAGGAAAAAGATTTGCAAAAGAATAAACACCGCAAACCACTACAGAACACCATTTTATCGAGCATTTTGAAACTTCTGGCGCGTCCATGATATTTCATACTATATTCAGTGTATCTGTTTTGTACTTATTCAACTTGTCGTTTAATCATTTTCAATTTATGCCTGAAATTATTCCAATGCATAAATATTCCCTCCGCCTATGCGAGTATGCCATCATACAATTCTGCCATTCATCGCCGTTTATTTTTATTGACCAAATGTAACAATTCTACATTATAACATCTGGTGTGTCAATCTTTACAGTATCTGTTTTTTTTTGTGAGTGGACATCGTCTGACACTTCATAGTGAAACCACGTGTTACATTTTGAATCTCTCAATTACCTTTTTCGTGACAAGGCACTTACAGAAATGAAAATAAAGGTAGTGATCAACAACAGATTATAATGCACGAAACAAGCAAATAAAAAAAGAAATGAGATAGGTTGATCGAAGCGTTGAGTAAATTTATCGTAAATGTGAAAAGATGTAGAATGGAATGATAACAATTACCAATACTAGAGATCCCCAAAAGAAAAGTAGACTCAATCACATAGCAAGCCGCAACTTCTCGTCCAGTCATAACTCAAAGTCGGAAGAAGAAAAGTTTATTAGGTTTAAGAATACTTTATGGTCAATTTGATGGAAAGAGTAAGTTATAAATGATCGATTAACTGGAATAATGCTATCGGGCTTAGTGATAATTATTAAATAATGTTAGCAAAACTAACTGAACATTGTCAACGTATACTACAAATTCATTCTGCCACAAGTGGTGACCTTTATTTCCAAAACATTTTTAATAAGAGGATTTGAGGATATGAAGTTTAACTAATTTCACATATATTTATATTTTCTGAAAAAAATAAAAAAAAGACAGGATAAGGACAAAAGTCCCAAAAATGATCAGACTTGTTCATAATTGAAAAACATTGGCAACATTGTCTACCTTATACCCTAAATGTATTTCTCAGAAAACATTTTATAAATATTTATATTCTATTTTGTCAAGCCAATTTAAGTTTATTTTTTCCAACCAGTGGAAAAAAAATAATCGAACCTAAGTTACGAGGAAAAATTTCTGAGGAATGAAAATCGTGGGAAAACACGAGACGGTTATCGAGCAGCGAATGCGTTTTTTATTTATCCAAAGTATGAGCGACTATCTGCCCTAAATTATACTTATGTTGCTTTATATATTCATATATAATCAATGACTCTTTCTGCCTTCGGATTTTGTTCCAAACTGTTTCATTCATTTATGTAGAGATGACGCTATAATTGCTTTCGTAATCCCGGAACCACGGCAGGGTGGGAATTTTTTAATTTTGATGAACTTCGAAGTGAAATGTATCCAACAGAGCCCACAGAAATTAATAAAAAAATAAAGCTTCAGAACGACAACAACAAGCATTACCTATTGAAAATTTCAAATCAATTGGATAGTACGTTTTTTTTTGAAACAACACGATCTATAGCCATACATCGCATAAGCTAGTCAGTGATTCTCAAAGTGGGCGATAAAGCCCCCCAGTGGTCAAAAGTGACGAAACGAGTGTGAGAGGGGGGAAGGTAACAAGGGCGGCTATTGCGCATTATCAAAAATTAAGAATTATTGCAAAACTTGTGTTGTGTATTGATATCACAACGCTTCGACTACAAAAAGAGCATGACAGAAAGGAACTTTGTGAGGTGTACTTATTCTTTTGTGCGTATTTTATCTGCCACAACCCACTGATGCCTGATCGTACTTATGGCAATAATTTGAAACACCTCTCCATGACGTGACTAACAGAGTATGCGGAAAGATTTATGACAAATGAAGGTAGTGCAGAAAAGAATGGAAATTTCTCTGGAGGCCATTCATCCACAATTATTACAAAGGTGGTTTAAAGTAGGGAATTAAACGCGTGAGACGCATACCCACATATTATAGTCTTGTATTTTAGATTTCTAATATTTACAGGAGAATCAGTTAATAATAATAATGTCTGGGCGGAGAAAAATAAATACTTGCTGGATCCATTTATTCAGAAGCGAAGTCTTCTAGTCATGAGTTATTCTCCTTTATGAAAAGGCAGTTTAGTCCAGCCATAGACGCTTTATCATTACTGAAATCTGTTGTTGTGATGGCTGCAAGGTTACTTCGTCTTGTCATAGTTCTTGTCATTGTCATGGTTGGATAATTCAACCATTTACTGCTAATCCTACAGATCCAGTGGTGAGCTGTAGCCGGATCCAGTGGTGAGCTATAGCCGGAACGGCGTTCCGGTTGTTGGACATTCTGTTGCATTTGCGTTCCTGTTGATGAAATAAAATTTTGGTACAAAAAGTCTAGTTTCTCTGGTTAAATCTAGTCATTAACTTACGGTTACATCATAATTCTTTTTACATCACATCACGCAAATAATTAGTACATGAGTAATGTGTAATAGATGTTTCCCCGACCCGACAATTATTCTTCAATGTTACACAGACATATTTCAGATAATTTCCTCATATTTCATTGCAGTTCTTCGGCTCTATCTTAGGACAGACAAAAATTTGTGTAACGTCCGCGTCGTGTTGTAAATTATATATATATATATATATATATATGTAAAATGCTTGTTACGAGATCAGGTGCTAATGCACGAATATAAGGATACAAAAGAAGGTACCGTTGAAGAACACGGCTGTATACATAAAACTGGCCAGCATAGCTCACGTGAACGCGTGTCAGCAATAAAGTATCCAGCTTAGGAAGATTTCAGCCACCGTCAACATTATTACGTCGCGGAAAAGTAGACTCCACATTTAGGTTACATCAAAGAAGAAAGGGTTTTATTTTCAAGTTTTCGTTAATTCCTTCCAAGAATATATCCTGCACGAGGTACGATTATTTAGAAGTTAAGTAAATACAGGATTCATTGTATGTTTATGAAGATAGAAAAAGAAGGGGTTTGGAATTGTGTGCGAACGACAAGTTACGAACCTTACGTCTAAAATATGTTTCAGTTTTCCCACTAGATAAAATTGTACATATCCTAGTTCTCATATGTAGGCTGCAGAGGTTCTCGCCTGTGTACAAAACTTCTACAATAAACATTGATTTTCGATTTTGTGAAACTCACTCTAAAGTATATATTTCATCAACATTGAAGACTTGAATTGTTTCAACATCTCGTGTCAACCGCTGTCCTTTTATATCTAAGTCTCAATGAAGAACTTGTTCAGCTCTCAGTACGTTAATGGTCCTATGCTGTTATATAAGCGTTTTAGGACTCTTCTTTGAGCAAATTTGAATGAGAATGAAAAATAAAAATACAAGCATTTCTTTGCATCGTCCAACTATATGGACTATTGCCAAAAGCTATTTGAAAAAGTAGCTAGTATGGCCGTCTTAAATATGTCAGGTCAAACTAATACCACGTTCACCGCATATAGCGTCTCAATATCTGTATCCTGAAAGTGCTGACTTGAAGGGTCTGGTATCTCGTGTTTATTTTTGATTAAAGGCCTATCGGTGGCAAAAATAATTCCATATTTAGGTATACGCGCAGCAGTCCACACTTTCTATTCATACTTGGATCGAATTAGCTCAGGGCAAAACAGTTAATGTGCAGCAAAAATGAGTTCAACTGTCCAGATAACAGACATAATACGTCATTAAGCAGCCTTACTCAACAATACATGTTTATGTCAAAGTTGAAGATTCTTCGTACTAGAATGAGTTTCTCTGAAACAAACAAATTGGATCATACACTCGTGATAGTTACAAAGCTACATTTTAGCGGTATAGTTGATTAACTTGACTTTCAACGTTGCATATATTTATGTTTAGATTTCATTTGTTTCTGCAAAGCATTTGAAAAGTACACTTCGCCTTAAAATGATACCAAATACCCGTTTATAATTTGTATACTGATATGGAACAGAAAAAAAAACTGTGTAGGCTATATATTATTATTCATTTATTCCGTAGAATAATAGTATATTTACTGTCATTTTTAGTGACGTTTCCAAAGATCTAACTCTTCTAAGTAAAATTTATTAATTTAATATTTTACTTTCTACTTCGTTGTAAACTCGGTCCGATCTTATCAGTTCGCAGTATTGCTTATCATCGTGTATTGTGTCGACGTCGATGACTCGGCACTAGTTTTGATTGAGGATGATATAAAAGTCATGCGTTCGTAAAGTAAGAATAACTTTGAATCACTACGTTGTCCATGTTGGAGCATGGAAATTCATACTTTCAAGTTCGTTCTTTTGGCATTCGCATGCGTTTCAATAATAGATTCGACTTTTACTCAAGCAGAAGATTCTGAGCGTTTCTTCAATGAACATGACTTTGACGAACGAGATGTCCCGTATAAGTTATGGAAAGATGAAACAAGGTACTCAAACCTGCTAAACTCTTTTCTTCCAAAAAACGAAACATTCACGCAAGTCACAGAAAATTCATTTGAAGAAACGTTGGAGGAAGTGAAGTATGTGAATTGTTTAAACATGTTTGTAAGACCGAGGTCAGAATTTTCCAGACAAAGATTTTTCAATATACATATTGAATAGTGTTTGTCTGGCCTTGGTTAGACCAAACATCACAAAAATTTACTTGTGTTAGCGTGCAGACTCTTGCAAGACTCTTGAATCACTTAGAATAAACTAGTGTTCCAATTTCAGATGGAGTACCAATCCGCCAAGAGAATCTGTGAAAAAACGAGCAAGAAGGAAGCCAAAGATACGGCCAAGTGTAGTGAAGAAGCTAGTACTAACCAGTAATGTTTTAATCACTATACTTTTATTAACACCATAAAGGTTTTTTGGCACCATAGAATCATGAATTTATTGCACAGTGGTTTTAATGCTATATCCTAGAGGTGCTTTGATGGAGGTAAACCTGAAGTACATAGATAACGCTGACAGTACTCACAAAGAAAAAGCTATGCAAACAATAAACCTCAATTTCAAATCGGCGATAAAATAAAAATTCTAATCGACCTTTTAATATAATTTAGCCTACGCCATACTGTAATAAGCGTATATTTTCCAGGAGCACTAAGAAGAAGCTGTCTTGTAGCTCATAACGAAGCGAGAAAAATTGTTAAACCACCTGCAAGTAACATGAGGAAACTACACTGGGACAAAGAGCTTGAATCACTGGCGACTTCTTATTCACGAAAATGCTTGTGGAAACATAACCAAGTGGGTGCAATTATTCCGTTTTTTTCTTTTTATAAAAACCGTGTACATCGATAAAACTTGATCATTGATTTAAAATAAAAATAAATTCCAGTTATTTTGTCACCTAATCACGTCAGAATCACTAGCGGGCAATATTTATTAGTGAAATAAATAGCTTTATATCATATTGATTCAAATAATATTAAATAAATACTGAAACACAAAGTACACGATTATAGAAAATGTATTACGCTTGGGTATGTTTAATCATTATTACTAATTAAATTACTTTGCTTCAACTTTTTAGCAATTCATCATTCACATGTTCACTTATTCAAAGCAAATGTCAATAATATCATACAGGGGTTGGGAAATAATTTGTTCCTGTTTTTTTTTTTTTATAGAAAACTCAACACAAGAGATTTGACTGGGTGGGAGAAAATTTATTTATATCATATGAATTTAATAAATTTGATGAAGAATATACCGCCCTAGCGGTGAAATATTTCGATGACGAGAAAGAATTTTATAATTACAAGAAAAACAACTGTGAAAAAGGAGAAGTCTGCGGTCATTACACCCAGGTTATTCCAAGTTTTTGACATAAACCAAGTTTGCTAAGTAAAACAAACAACATTTTTATATTCTGAATGTTTTGAATAAAAATCACGAATAATGTAAAACTGTTACTAGGTCGTTTGGGCAGATACGTTCAGACTAGGATGTGGAGCAACGCAATGTGCTAATGTGAATGTAGGTGGAAAAATATGGAAAAAGGCTACTCTGTTTGTCTGCAACTACACACCGGGAGGAAACTATGCGGGCGTGTAAGCTTCGGTTACTTTTGTTAAGTTCCTCCAGCATATCAAAATATTTTGACGACAATGTCGTGTGGAATCTCAACCTCGATGTAACAAAATAATATTTTAAAAATAAAGAAACATAAGTAATATTTTCACTTATTCTTATTGTTGACATTGTCATTATTACCTGTTCGGCATGCAGAGAACATTGTTCCTGGTTTGGTACCAGCCAACATGTTCGCATAAAAATGGAAAATTATCTGCTATCCAATATGATTAGGAATCACTGATTTAACTAGAGAATAACGTGATTTTTCGAATATCCATTGACAATGAATCACCGATCAAGTCTACATTCACGAATAATTATTTCTAGTAAACCCTACAAGACGGGCAATGGATGTACAGGCTGCCACGAGACAGACACGTGTGTATCTGATAAACTTTGCTGGAATCAAATGCGCGGAAACAACTTTAACAATGCAACAAGTACGTATGCAATTATTTTCTACTTGTGGATTTTCGGTTCCAACTCGACCTATTCTCTTTCATAACATTATATTTATATAGATATCATTTTTTCATCAGACTGAAAAATCTTCTGATATTACATGTAAATGCGCCACCATGCCAATATATATATTGCATTTGTCAAAATGCTCCGATTACACTGTCTCTTTTCTGTTCAGTCAATAAATAGGTATCCGCCGAATGCAAAAAAAATAGCTGATACGCGTTGATAGTCGCATCGTAATCGAAACATTTATTCTTGGGTTTTTGACTCCATTGTAACTTCCAATATGTGGGACGTAGGCAATGCTTGTTTAAGATACCTTGACAATAGTTTTCAAATTAACAATTGCAATATTCTTTTCACATGGTTTTATTCATATTTTAATCATTTCATTTATATATATATATGTTTAAAACAAAATATGTTTTGTATTTATTATTCTTAGCAACAAGTAGAGCCGTCAAAATATTCGGATAGGTTCAATTTATCTTGTGTTGGTTTCACAAGTTGAAAGGCCTTTGCAAAGCACTGAATTTACTGAATAATTGTTTCACTTTCATGGCAATGTAACGCAGTGTCGCAATATACGAAACTTAATTATAATTTCAGGTTCTATAAAAGTCAAAATTTTTTTTATTACGATTGTACTATAGCTCTAGATAAAATCGATTTACCAGATATAACAAAGAAAATTTTGAAAAACGATAAATATGTACATTTCTTTGTCAAAAAAGCATGTCAACTGAATGTGCAACTTATAATGCTGTCGATCATAATATATTTTTCCGAATTGAAGCTGATATTTCTCCTTGACCTAGTTTCCTTCGTTTTAAATGTTTGTAAAATTCGTTTCACAACAAATTAATCAAATGTATTTTCAGTGATAAACTTCACGGAGTGGGGACCGTGGGGATCCTGTTATGGAACTTGCGGAAGTGGAATTAAATTCAGAGACAGAACATGCAACACTTTCGTGCGTGAAGACTGTGAAGGTAAATTCACCGACGACAAAGTATGCTGGGCCGGCCCATGCAATAAGAAGCGTATTAAAACAGGGAAAACTTCACCAAAGAATAAAAACAGCAAAAGACAAAATGAAAAAGACATTGTATAGAAAAATATGAGAAATACACCTAGGGTATGAAGTAGAGAATGTTAGCAAATATTCCTCAACTAGGAACGAGTCTGATTATTTTTGTCTTAATCCATATTTCGATTTTTACCGTTCGTAACATTTGCGATATTAATTGGTATATGTTGTGATTTGCAATAAATAACCATATTCAAACCACTTGTCTATAAATTTATTCATGATTACGGTCATTTACATTTGGGTGGTTAAATATTAGTTACGAAAATATTTATTATACCAACGGTTCGGGAAACAAACAGGAGCGTTAGGAACACGGTCAGAACCGTGCGTTCCAGATAAAATGGGACGACCACTGGTATACGGGTCGAATGCCAGAGACATAGACCGTAGTTATGAATTGAAATGAATATGTGACATCACTAACATTCATTGGTCAATAGCAGGAACGGGCAAGAACCTAGGACTAAGAGTGTCGATAACGATACCAGGTCGTGGTCGATAGGGGGACTAAGTGTCGAGAACAGGTCATGAAAGGAAGGGTACTGGCCGGTCGAGAGAACGAGTTTATGAAAGGATGTGGGAAGAAGGGAATGTTAATGTGAATTGTTCGAAAATAGTGACTTAAGAACAGGGTAAGAGAGTGAGAATTTGTCATATGCAAATTCCATAATGGATTTGAGGATTTCTGTACAAATTGTTAGAAAATGATGAAAGAGATTTGAGAGAAAGAGTACTTGAGCTACCCAACAGGCAGACATGAAATTAGGATACATGACATTAATACAAAAAATGAGCAAGAAAGATAAAATTACAAAATACAGACCAATATGCCTACCAAAAGAGAAAAATATTAAAAGAAAAAATTATATGCAAAAGATTTATAAGAAGGCGTACCAAACATACAAAAATTGGGAAACAAGACATCAATTCAAAAAAGGCAAAAGGGATATACAGTATTTAATAGCGAGCTTCATAGACAGATTTCTAGTCTCCTTAGATTTCGAATAGGAAAGAATAGAAAAGCATCATTCGATAGCGCTATGAAAAAATAGTATATTTTGAACGAGCTACATTAATTAAATTTCACCAAAACCATACCATTGGGATTACAAGATTCAAGGAGCTCTAGGAATATAAAAGAAATGAAGCAAATGGAGATATTGAGCATTACTTTGTAGGAAAGGAAATGAAAGCAAAGATAATTAGGACAAATGCATGAACGAAATAAAAGACGAATTTGGCAAATTGAAGCAACTAAATCCAAATGTCTTGTCTCGAATATATACAATGCCAACCAAGATAGAAAAGAAAATCAACACTATAGTAAAGAAATACTTCTTTAGTAACAAAACAAGAGAAATATCCATTGAAACGTTGTGCAAACCAAAAGAAATGGGGCGATACGATTTAGTTATCATACCAGACACGTGTATATCAAACAAATTTTTCTCGAATAAAATGCGAAGCGACAGTTTTAACAATGTAACAAGTAGCCTACGTATGCAATAATATTCTACTTGATTATTTCTGGTTCCAAATTTAATCATTGAAAATCGAATATAATGTAACAATATATTAAATATCTTTGTTATCAAATTGAATATTTCAATATTTCGCGTACGTTCTCCACAAAGCATACACAGGAATCAGAGAAAATTGAATTACAATTGAACCCTTATTTGCGGAGTAATAAAAATTCTCGTGACAAAACATCCCGAAAATTTTGCAAAACGATCCATAAGTGCATACCATGTCAAAAAAGCGTGACAACTCAACGTCGCGTAACGCATAAGTAGATCACAAAGGCCCCTGATTTTACATATATTTTCACAAATTGAATGAAAGCCGAAATATTTTACTTACAATTTCTTCTTTCTAAATGTTTGTAAAATTAGTTTCAATACAACTTAAATTGAAAATGTATTCTAGTGATAAAATTCACGGAGTGGGGAGCTCTTGTTCGGCAACTTGTAGGAGAGGAAAAAAATTCAGAAAGAGAACACTTCCGTACCTGACAACTGTGTAGGTCAATTCTGATATGATAACAAAAAGCTTGTTGAGCCGGCCCATGTGATAAAAAGGTTAAGAAATCGGGGAGAAATTTGCAATTTATATAATATAAGATGAAATACCAGAATTGGCCCAGTAGTTGACGACAAAAGCGATTTTTCATGACACGAATAGAATACTATCAACAACAACAACAACATTATAACAAAATTATCCACAAGTTCGACTTCGTGTACAATAGGAAAATAATTGGTATATATTACGAGTTGGTCTTATTATCGAAACGATATTACGGATATTAGTTTCGTTTATTTCAAATATTTCTGTGAGCTTTGTGGGAATTGTTTTTTGTGTGCTATTACGTCTTCAAAATATGTGCACCTCGTGGCGGTTCCGCGAACGCATATCAGCGGATCTCGTGCTTAGCAAAAGTGGGAAATTTTTTTATGGGGAACGGTTGACTGAAGGACCGATCTGGCAATACAGAAGTGACTTGGATCAGTTGGTATTCTAATTTACGTTGGAACTGAATCGTGAAAAATGAATCATTGTCACAGGAGTCGACAGGACCTGGAAAAGCTATGACCGGTTACCGTTAACCTGGGTAGTCGAGTTGTCGGCTACCCAATACGACTCCTGGCATGTAATGTTTGGGGCATTGATGATAAAATATCAAGTTTCGGTGTCCGTGTCCACATATCTGAGCATAATCTCTTGTTAAGAGAAAAGATGCTAATGCACGAGTATAAGGATACAAGAGAAGGTACCGTTGGTGAACGTATATATATAAGCTGGCAAACATGCATATGAGTGCGTGTCAGCAATAAATTATTGAGCTCATGAAGTTCCAGCCACCGTCAACATTATCATGCCGCGGTAAAATAGACCCCGCATTTCGGTTACACTACAGAAGAAATGGAATTCGTTTTCAAGTCTTTCTTTAATTACTTTTGAGATCAGTTATGCGCGAGATACGATTATTTTGAAGTTAAGTAAATACAGGGTTCATTTGTATGCTTATGAAGATAGGAGAAAATAGAAGAAGAGTTTGGAATTGTGTGCGAACGACCAGATACGAACCTAGTTGTTCCACTACTGATAAGATTTTACATATCCTAGTAGAAGTTCTCGCCTGTGTACAAAACTTTTACAATAGACATTGATTTCCGATTTTGTGAAATTCATTCTAAAGTATATATTTCATCAACATTGAAGACTTGAATTGTTTCAAAATCTCGTGTCAACCGCTGTCCACTTATATCTAAGTCTCAATGAAGAACTTGTTAAGCTCTCAGTACGTTAATGGTCCTATGCTATTATATAAGCAATTTAAGACTCTTTTTGAGCAAAGTTGAATAAGAATGAAAAATAAAAATACAAGCATTTCTTTGCATCGTCCAACTATGCACTATTGCGAAAAGCTATTTGGAAAAGTAGCTAGTATGCCTGTCTTAAACTACGTCAGGTCAAATCAATACCACATTCATCGAGTATAGCGTCTCAATATCTGTATCCTGAAAGTACTAACTTGAATTGAAGTAAGTGTCTGGTGTCTCATGTTTACTATAGTTATTACCTTATCCGTTGCAAAATAATTCCATATTTAGATATATGTGCAGCAAAAATGATGTCAACTGGCCTGACAACAGACATTAAACGTCATTAAGCTGACTTACTCGACAATACCTGTTCATGTCATAGTTGAAAATTCCTCGTACTGAAATGAGTTTCTGTGAAACAATAAATCATACACTCGTGATAGTTACAAAGCTACATTTTAGCGGTATATAGTTGATTAACTTGACTTTCAACGTTGCATATATTTAGGTTTAGATTTCATTCATTTCTGCAAAGCTTTTTGAAAAGTACACTTCGCTCTAAAATGACATCAAATACCCGTTTATAATTTGTATACTGATATGGAACGGAATAAAAACTGTGTAGACTATATATTAATATTCATTAATTCCGTGGAATTATAGTATATTTACTGTCATTTATAGTGACGTTGTCAAAGATCTAAACTCTTCTAAGTAAATTTTATTGATTTAATATTTTACGAACTACATCAATTACTATTGTGAACTCGGTCCGATCTTATCAGTTCGCAGTATTGCTTATCATCGTGTATTGTGTCGAGGTCGATGACTTGGCAGTAGTTTCGATTTAGGATGATATAAACTCATGCGTTTGTAAAGTAAGAATAACTTTGAATCACTACGTTGTCAATTTAGGAGCATGAAAATTCCTACTTTCAAGTTCGTTCTTTTGGCATTAGCATGTCTGTCAATAATAGATGCGACTCTTACCCAAGCAGAAGATTCTGAGCATTTCTTCAATGATCATGACTTCGACGAAGACGGCCTAGATGTCCCTCATAGGTTATCGAAAGATGAAATAGGGTACTCAAATCTGAACGTTTCTCTTTCAAAAAACGGAACATTCACGCAAGGCACAAAAAATTCATTTGAGGAAGCGTTCGAGGAAGTGAAGTACGTGGAGGATTTGATTATGTTTGTAGAAACGAGAACAGAATTCATCAGCCAAAATTTTTTAATATTCATATTAAACAATGTTTGTCTGAGGAGGTCTGACGTTGGACAGACAAAACGTTACAGAAATATATTTGTATTGGCGTATAGCAAGACTCTTGAATCATTTAGAATAAACTAGTGTTTCAATTTCAGATGGAGTACTAATCCCCCAAGAGAACCTGTGAAAAAACGAGCAAGAAGAAAGCCAAGGATAATGTCAAGTGTAGTGAAGAAGCTAGTACTAACCGGTAATGTTTTGATCGCTCTACTTTTATTAAGAACAAAAATATTTTCTAGGACCATAGAATTAGGAATTTATTGCTCAGTGGTTTCAAAGATTTATTCTAGCGGCAATTTAATGGAGTGAAACAGCACGTACATAGATCACGCTGTCAGCAGGTCTACTCACAAATGAAAAGTTAGGCAAACAATGAAACTCAATTTTAAATCGGCGATAAAATCAACATTCTGATCAATCTTTGAATATTACTTAGCCTACGCCATACTGTAATAAGCGTATATTTTTCAGGAGCACTAAGAAGAAGCTGTCTTGTAGCTCATAACAAAGCGAGAAAATTT